CTTTTTTGATGATATTATTCACCGCCCGCTGGAATGCAGCTACTCCATTCGTTACACCAAACGGAATCCTGCAAAACTGATATAAATTTCCTTCCGTCTCAAATGCAGTATACACTTTTTCTTTGCTTAGAATTGGAATCTGATGGTAAGCACTTTTCAGATCAATTTTGCTATAAACCCTGTATTTCGCAACTTTAGCTACCATATCTTCAATACATGGCAGCGGATAAGCATCAAGTTGTGTAAACTTGTTCACAGTCTGCGAATAATCTACACACTCCTTCTTTTATGGTTTTCATTACTTGTTACTAGCACTTGTGCCCTCCACGGAGATGAACTAGATTCTATTATTCCGTCAGCGAGTAGCTTCTTTATCTCCTTGCTGATGAATATCATATGACTTAACTGCGATCGGTTTACAGTCGGACGAAAGATTTGGAAATAGGCAGACTGGGTCGATATTGGCGCAAGTTAGGGCACATAATTTTAACGCAGCTTTGGAGCCACCGAAAAACATTTCTAGTGTCTTATATTTCTTAAGAACATCATGTCCAATTATTACATCTGCGCATAAATTTTCCATTATTAACAGATTAACTTCAAATTTATGTCCTTGTAAATTTATGTTGACTGAACATGACGCATCTATTCTTGTTTTTAAATTCGAAACTGCCATGCTGATGTGCTGGACGCAACGTTTAGTTGCTATTTTGTATTGTTCTACTAGACGCTTATCAATGAAACTGCTTGTGCTCCCGGTGTCAATTAATGCTTTAGTGGTAAATAATCCATTAATCACGATCGATACTATAGCTTTGCTTAGATCAGTTGTAGCAGCGATAATACAGGAAAGTGATTGCGGACATCCCGGTTTCTCAGCTTCATGAGTATCATTTTGGGCGGCGAATGCTTTCTGATGAAATTTTGCGCCACCTTTGCACACTTTTGCAAAATGTCCTCTTTTTCCGCATTTGAGACATGTTGAGCTGGAAGCAGGGCAGCTGCGTCGTGCGTGTCTCTTAAATCCATAAAAATAACAAAGTTCTTGTTCTTGATTAAAGTTTGACGTTGCGTTGACTGAGAAACTAGTACTAGGTTGCTGGTAATCATTATTATGTATACGTGCCATCTCTAGAGCACGTGCTTGTTTAAAAGCATCGTCCAAAGTCAGTGTGCTATTCTCCAAAAGTCTCTGACGGACTGAGGGCGATGAGAGACCGGATATGAATGCATCTCTAATAAATTCATTTTTATTTTGTTCAGCAGATACTTGTTTGAAAATCTTTCGAAAGTTGTATATATTGATCTACGGACTCACCACTTTGTTGAGAACGTTTGGCTAATTTGTATCGGGAGTAAACCTCGGCTTCAAGAATAATGTGTTGAGATGATAGATGGCCGAGTCATAGTCACTTGAATCTTGTAGATATGCAAATAATGTAAGAGATAAATGATTTGTCAATAATTGAAATTTCGTTTCTTTATCTAGTGGTTTTTCTTTGGTAGAGATGGATGTCAAAAAATTTTCAAGTGTGTTTTTCCAATGTGTCCACTGATGGGACTGATCTTCACTAGAGGACGGATCTCCATCAAATCTTTCTGGTCGTAGATATTTATCCATGTAGTTTTGTTGAATAAATTGTAGTAGAATAAACCTTTATAGATTATTAAATAAACTGAGAAATTAATAGGCTTTATTCAACAAAAACTTTACATGACAATCGATGACAGAATAGTCATAGTTTCCTTTGGTCAAAGCTACTTTTTGGTGTAAACCAAAGAGTTTATATCACCACACCCATCAGCGATGATGGAATAATGATAGTTGCTTTTTGGTCAAAGCTACTTTTTGGTATAAACCAAAGAGTTTATATCACCACACTATGCCTAATGTGAGAATGTGAAATTGTCACTTACATTTCACGTCTAAATATAAAAAGTAGTTTACTATTTATTGCATATTGGCAGTGAATAATTTTCGATGGAATGTCTAATGTCGGCATAACAAGACGCGTGGCGGCGTATACTATATGATAACACATTCCTTCAGTAGTATTTGTAATAATAATTAAATCCTGTTTTCGAAAATAAATAAATGTTCATTTTTTAACTGCTAAATGTTTTGTGCCAAGTTCTTACTTCCTTCAAACATGTTGTATGGACTAGATGTCTTTGCTATGAACTAAATATGTAACAACGTTATGTCTACGGTCTAAGTTCTCGTTAGGGGTGTAGGATACCACTTAGGTATCGATACTTTTACACGATACCGTATCGGCTTATATAAACTCTTATTCTTTGCGTATCGATCATGTACAACTGGGAATATGGCCACTGCCGGAAATTTTCCACTGCCCAAAAACTCACAGTAGAGGTTTTGAGGTTTTGTCGTATTACGTATTCGCTGGGTGCAAAGTAGATGGTGTGAGAACCATGAATCGATCGCAGCGTACACCGTGGTGAAAAAAAGGAACTGATGTCAGACGAACTGTTACTTTTTACTAGAGAAATAGTCGCATTACGTAATTATGTACGTACAAAACCTGCTACGTAGTGAATGGCAAAAATAGTAATCAACGTCGAGAGGATAATCTCTACAAATATTAAATTTGTAAGTATTATTGAATTTGCAATCCTCAATATTTTCTAATAAATAAGCCCAGAAATGTTTTTTGGGACTGTTTCTTAGACATTTTTTATTATATTTCCAAAAATAAAATTCATAATGCAATTTAATTCTTCAAATCAATATACATAATAAATAGTAGTAAAGTGTTTCATTCCATATAATTGAACAATCAACACATTACTACGACTAAAAAATTATGAATGTTTAACACATTACCTAATCATCTTTACATCTTTAAACTGTTTCGCTAAAATTCATTATTTACTTTATTCTTGTTTGTTGGTGGAAAGCTGTGCCGTGTGTGGCGTGATTGCTCGAAATCCAGGTTTTATAATAAATTTGGACATATTTAAATAAAAATACACAACAAGTTAGCATTATTGACGACACTACGTTTACAAATGGTTGTTTTCGATATATACGTTTACGTTTTCAGATTTTTGTTATTTTTTATTTATTTCCCGTGAAGTCATGAGAAAGTCCATATGTACTACCTGAAATTTAGTGAATGTGGAATTTAAACTGTAAATAAAAAATATCAATATTATTATCGACACTAGATTTACATGACCGAATAGAATTTAAGTGAATTAAAATTATTGATTGTTTATTTACTCTTAGTACAGAATGCCAGCCATTTCACATATCAAACTCCAACGTGATTGTATAAAGATATATTTATTTTACTAAGCATTATATATATCGAGGAGTTTTTATATAGTGGATACATTAGAAGATGCCGTCCCTGTCTATTTGCATAAATTCTTTAGACAAAATATAAACAAGGCAGACTTTTAATTAATTTTAACTATATCTTCCATATACTGAGAAGTATGTGGAAGATAGACAAGTTATTTTCAACATTCTCTCATATTCATATTGGTAAAAGAAACAAATTTACTATAGAAAAAGCAAGCAAATCTGCTATATAGCTCATAACTGAAAACTAATGAATGATAGAAAACACATTTATGAATATTTTGAATGGATTTGATTTAGAATGCTACTAATTTGCTTACTTTTGTCTGTAGTACATAGATAATAATAAAGTAATTTAAATTAACATAAAACATTTAAAAAATATAGAAGATTTATTTCCACTATGGGAACATTGCCGGCAATTTTCCCAGCATAATTTCCAGTCCTTGGCAATATACTCGGGCACGGTACATTACTATCATGAGGGATCAATACCTACTCGGCAGTGGCGGCTGGTAGATCATCGAACTGGTGGTTCATTCTACTCGCTCAGAAGTATTAGAATTAGAAACTGAAATAAAATAACACTTTACATACTTAAATGTTAAAGAATATTTATTTATTTAATTAAAATTTTTATTTATTATAAATACGTCAAACCTTGATTCCAATTTCTGTCTAAATCGATTCTCCGCGAAAAATAATGCATTAAAGTAGGTACATAGGTAAACAAGCGAAAGAATAGGTACTGACGAAATATATATAAAAAAAAACGAAAGGTCATGAACTGAACGCGCCCGGCTGCACTTCATCAAATCCCGGTTGCTGCCTAACGGACTAATATAAGCTCTCTTCTAGCTCCGTGCATTTTCTATAAACTGTTTTTGTTTCGCTCGCCAGGTGTCTTAGCTAGTATCTCATAGTAATCGTATGGACTGTCTGTACGAGGACTTTTTCAGTAAAGAGAATAAATTGTTATGTCATAATTGGAAATCTATATAATGAAATGGAAATTGAATTAAATATTAATATATATTTTTTAATCGATTGATTGGTTTGTCGTTCAGCATACACTTAAGGGACAGCCGCCTTTGCTACTCGGCATCAAATGAAAAATATCCATACCTACTTGTATCGAATAGTTTCAAAATGCTTCAGCTGCATCGTTATTTTTATAGCTTTTCAGAACAGGTTTGATACTTTCTTTCTTAAACAGAGTATTTGGTACAATACTCTGTTTAAGAAAGAAAGAGAAGCAGGTTTAGGCTTTTAAGCTAATGCATATAGTAAGGTACCTATTGCTTCTAAATCTATCTAGAGAGGTCTAGATAGATCTCTAACTACATAAAATAAGTAGGGGTTAATAATGAATCATCATACGACAGAGACGCCGCGCCTGTGGAACGTTTTCATCAGATAAACTTTAGACATCTTACTACGCAGTAAACAGTCTTATACGCGAGTGTAATTTGCTTAGGAATTTGAAATACTGACCAAGTACCGATACGAATACAACTTCACGATTCTACTTGCTATTCGGTTCTAAAATATTATTGTCAAAGTAGTTGGTATCGAAAGAAAAGTATCGAGTAAGTACTTGGACTTATTCGTATCGTACATCGCTAGTTCTTGTCATCTTGTGTTGTTTGAGCATAGACTATTGTTTATTTTTGGAATACATATTTTGAATTCTGGGGTTGTTAATGGAGTTTTTACATTTGATTATTAATATTATAATATAAGTTTGTATCGGCCCGTTTATTGTGAAGTCATTACGTAGTCTATCAATGCACTTATGATAGAGATCAAGTTGCAATGGTGAATGAAAATAAATGTTGATTTATTGGCGAAGACTTTTATCTATATTACAAGACCAGCTGTGCGATTCTGAAAATTTACTTGCTATTGCTAAGGTATTAAACACAACGGAACATTGGATTGTGAGCGAGTAGTATACATAGAAGTCTTTGTTTAATAAACGATTTATGGAAACTATCTTAAGTTGATTTCTCAGAGCGATTCTCAATTCATCAGATATTTCTTATTTTAGGAAGGAGCTTACAAAGATAAATATTCATTTATCGGTGAATGGTATGATAATCAAGCGAGTCTAATCCGTCGCTTCAACATATTCTATTATCCAACTGATGATACTTTAGAAATGTTTGATTTAAAAAGTCGTAAGACTTTTGTTCGAAGAGTTAAAGTTAATGGTGTCAATCTTGAAAGTTTTTATATAGGTAGCACTTTGTATGTCTTAGGACGTCTTATTAAAATTGTTGATTTTGCCTGTGAAGATACCAGAAAAAAATTACACAAAGATATGCAAGTGTGAGTTAATGAAATGTCATTTAAAAACGAAAACATGTATAAAAACGTTAAGTCACACAGAGATAATGTTTGGTTTCAGAACATTTGCAATAATTAAACCGATACCCACTCAAATAGCAGGGAAGATACTGAGCCACCTTCATGAGCATGGGTTACGAGTTACTAAAATGAAGAAAGCACGTCTCACCGCAGATGACGTACATCAGCTCTTCAGAAAAATGCTTACAGATCCTACATTCCCGTAAGACTCATTCTCTTATAATCTATCAGTTTTAAAAAAAATATCTACATGTATTTTCTCATGAGTTAATAATAATAAGATGACTTTCAAAATCTAATCTGGACTCTCCCAGGGCAGTGTGCCGGCCGCTGTCAGAGCATGCATGCCTATACCTTGTTGGGGGATGCTGGGTCTCTCGGACAGTGTATATTTCTGACTTAAGCTAACCTGAGTTTAGACTGGATCATTTTAAATTTTTCTTTATCCTAGATACATTTAGTTATTGGTTTTTATACTTGTTTATTTTATTGGTTTATTTTGTGTATTTCCATAATTGCACATATGTATAAATTATCATATATTTCTAGGTTCTTGTTAGAATATCTCACTGGGCAACTAGTATATGGATTAGAGTTGGTTGGGAAAGATGCAGTGAATGTTCTTATCAAGACTTTAGGAGATGGAGATCCTGTGAAAGCTGCTGCTGGGACTATCAGAGCTTTATACGGTTCAGATCCTGTACGGAATTGTATGCATGCTGCTGCTAGTCCAGATGATGCTGTAGAGGTACAGTTATATCAGACTGCTAGCTTTGTCGGAATTTGTCTCTGATATGTAATGTTAATCAAATATATTCTTTAAATTGTGTTAATTATTTGCCAATAATATCTTTGATTATTCAATTAAAATTATGTTTACTTACAGGATGTTGGATACTTCTTCCCACCACCACCCCTGCGATCTACACGACTACGTCTGACAGCTACACTATCTAACTGTACCCTATGCATAGTAAAACCACATGCCATTCGTGAGGGTAAACTAGGGGCTGCATTAGAAGCCATTGATAATGGTGGCTTTGAAGTAACAGCACTCAATATGTTTATGGTTGAAAACATAAATGCTGCAGAATTTTATGAGGTGTACAAAGGAATTGTACCAGAGTATAAGGTGTTTTAATAATTTATTATAACTAATACAAAAAGAATTTCATTAAAGAGGAAGTTTACTTAAACAGTAACCAGGCTTCTAAAATAAATATCTTTGTAAAGGTCTATGCACACTAACATTACAGCACTGTGAGCAGGACATCTTTCAGCATGCAAAAGTATACAAATGGTAACAATGCTGCACTATCCTTGGATGTGTTCCAACACTACGTCCTTAGGCATACTATAGCTAAGTCATTAATACATGTAGATATCATGATATTAAGTGTGCAAATATTTATTATTTTTATTTATTAACAACAACATTTACATCTAACATTACATTAATAATTATAAGGTAGCAATTCTGTTTTTAGCAAACATACTTATCAACGCTTAAGAACCAAGACTATCTATCTACACTTTTGGCGATTTTCACTTTATAATGCAGTTCTTTTCATGGTTAATTTACACATGACAAATACCAAAGACCAGAAAATACCAATACTACTTAAGTTACTTGTAGTAATAATTGTATGGAAATACCACCTATCTACAAAGAATATGTAATTACTCATTTTATAATTCAATAAAACTTAGTTTTTTGTTTGATTAAAGTCTTTAATCTATATTATTTCATTTCAAAGTCAAAAGTCAAAATAGTCTTTATTCAAATAGACTTCCTAAAAATGTTTTGAATCGTACCAACATTTTTTTCCATACCACTTGTTCAGGATGTCTTTTGGCTGATAAGAAGAACGAGCAAGAAACTCACCAGCTCTAATATGAGTAATGACATTCACAAAAACCATGTCATTACCAGATCAATACATTATAAATAGATAGAAAAAGAAAACTATGGTCTTATAATGATAACATAATCATTTAATAATAATGGAAACAAGATATTTTTTTTATATATAATGAGTTTAGAAGTAATCACCTATCCAGTCTCTGGATCATCTTAAGTCCAGGCATTTTTATCTCTTATATAATCGGATACCTTATAATAAGCTTTTTTAATTAGTATTTTTTAATAGAAGATTTAAACTGCATAATATCTAATTCTTGTATTTTGCTTGGAACCTTATTGTAGAAGCGCTCACAAAGACCCCTGAATGAGTTACTAACTTTTTGCAGTCTAGTGACAGGCGCCGTTAATTTCTTTTTATTTCTTGTATTAAAATTGTGTACATCACTTTTTATAGAAAACAAACTAATATTTTTACGAACGTACATAAAGTTCTCGTATATGTTTGAGAAGCAAACATTCATTATGTCTATTTCCTTAAATTTCTCCCTTAAAAAGTCCCTAATCCTAAGATTATAAATAGTTCTAACCGACGTGAAGTAACGCTTGCGTTGTGTTTCGTCGTGTGAGTGAGAGTACTGGAGGCCCAACCCCTCCCTATTCCCTTCCCTCTACCCCTCAAACCTTCCCTCCCTATCATATTCGTCCCTCAAAGGCCGGCAGCGCGCTTGTAGCCCCTCTGGTGTTGCAGGTGTCCATGGGAGACGGTAATCACTTACCATCAGGTGATCCGTCTGCTCGTCTGCCCCCTATCCCATAAAAAAAAGCACAAAAACTATTTCATGATTATCCCTTAGACAGGCAGGAAATAAGGCAAGTCATTTGTGTAAATTAAAAACAAGAAAGGACCAAGTATTGAGCCCTGCGGAACACCCATCTTAACTTTCGATCCAAGGGATCTTTTGCCATTGATATCAACCCTCTGCACTCTGTCAGTCAAGTATGAGACCATAAAATCCAAATAGTTATCTCTAAATCCATAGTTTCCTAATCAATGTTTCATGAAAAAATCAAATGCCTTAGATAGGTCACAGAAAACACCTTAGGCATCATGCGAGTCCTCCCAGGCATTAAAAATTTAACTCGACACCGGCTTCGGTTGTTGAGCGACCCCTTGTAAAACCAAATTGTTGTCGATTCATAAGGTGCCAATACCATCTATATGACAGTTAGCTGCATAAACATACGCAAATATTTTAACTAATACTGGCTATCTACACTAATTTTGAAACTAATATTGATTTCTTGAAATACACGATAACACCTTATTTCCCTTGCCTATCCATCAAATGATCAGATATAAAAATAAAAAAAACTCGTAGAAAAAATATGAAACGTTTTTTTTGTCTCCTGTAAAATCGTCTTTTTGTAGATCGATGGTCTTGGTTCTTAAGCGTCGTTATGTTAATGACTATGAAAGTTTAAAATAACATATTTAAAGAATGTGTCTTCAGGATTATTGTATCATAATTGCAATTGACAAAATTTTTTTTTTTTACAAATATTTAGAACAATAAATTCTCGTCTTGTAGAAACTATATCTTTTACTTTCAAAACATATAAAGTGACGAAAACACGTCAGTTGTAGTTGATTTTCGTACTATTTCGTAACAGTGATGATTTTTTTATATAGTATCCTTCAGTCAGGCAATGGCACCGTCTTGGACTTTGAAATCAATTCTAGACTCCCATTATGGCTCTTATTTATCTATCATTTACGAAATAGTGACAAATTATCCATTTAAGATATATAGTTTTGGAGATAAATGAGACTCTCTTTGGCATTTAGAATTCTGTTTTATGTTAACAGAAAACGCCCAAGCCTCTATTTGGAGTCTGGGACATATCGGTGATGAATGGCGGAGGTAAATATTTTCTGATATTGATTTTTATGATATTCATTTATCTTGGAAACCACGAACCGAGGCCAGTTGACTCTATTTCAGACTTTAATCGGTCAGAGTGATTAATATAAGGAATTTAATGAGTCAACAATTCGGCGGTGCTGCTGGACTAATGGATACTATAATGCATTATGTCTTTAATAATTGATCGCTGCCTTAATAGACCTTAAGTACTTGGATATATTTATGTGTTGATAAGTGGCGCTACCACCCTTCATAGTTATTTTCTTAATTATTTCAGGGAATGGTAGAAGAATTAGCTAGTGGACCTTGTGTTGCTATGGAAATTGTAGCCAAAGATAAAAGCGTGACTACAGCTATTGAATTTAGAAAATTAGTTGGCCCTTCAGACCCTGTAAGTAAATTTATCATAACTAGATGTCTTATGTTTGATTTATATTCCATCGATTTAGGGTGCTGTTAAATAGCTATACTCTAGATTTTCTACGTCTGGGCTATCTATATCTTTCTCATATACTTATAAATATTTATATGATGATAATGCCAGCTAAAGAATTCATAACGTTTTCTAATATCTTATTGTTATTAAATAAAAAAAAACATTTCAGAATTTATTTATTTATAAAACAATTGTTATGTTTTATTTGTTTACTTAAAGAAAGTTAATTTCATATCTCAGGCTCATATGCATTGGTTGAAAATGCTTATGTTTAGAGTGCGGGTTATTCATGTGGCTCGGTTTCATTATCGGCTTATAGTCGAACTAACTTTCCGCCAGCGGCTTTGTTTACGTAGTCCTGTATTATACATATAAATATAATACAGGACCAAGGATTTTTTAAGCATTTTGTATTAAGAATAATTTTCAGTATGGCATTGTAAATGCAAAATTAATAAAAATATGACACTCAGTGTATTGATGAAAAGCGTATTGGAATCCGTTGTGTAATTTTAAAAGATGTCATCGTATAGATAGCGGGAAGCGACTTTGTTTAATAACTATGTAAAGATGAAATGAGCAAACAAAAATTGCCCTAGAATAGACCAATAAAAATGAAGATTAAATCTTCATAAATGCTTGATAAAATAACAATTTAATCTGTTTCAGGAAATTGCTCGATTATTACGTCCGCATACTCTCCGAGCGAAATTGGGCAGTACCAAAGTTCAGAATGCCATACACTGTAGTGACTTGGCAGAAGACGGGCTACTGGAAGTCGAATACTTCTTTAAAATTCTAGATTTATAAATACAAAGGCTGATTACTTTAAATGCAATAAATAAATATTTAAATGACATTGTTATTATTATTATTATTAGTATGATGTCATAATAATATACATGGAATTTAATATATCAGGTCAAACATTATTGCGTAGATAAAATATTTTAACCAATTTATATTTAAATTGGTAGATGGATAATATTCTTAATGGAAATGTTTAAACAATAAAGTGGATTTTTTAAGCATTGTCAGTGCAATATTCTCGAGTATCTCTAGAAGATCCATCAGGTGATCCGTCTGTTTGTCTGTCCCCTATCCCATAGAAGAATTTGACAGTTGATTGTGTCGAAATTGACCTTTTTGTCAAGATTAGGGATTGATGCTATCTATTCTACATCGTGTTGTACAGTTTCGTGTATTCTCAGGCGCACCATTATGAAATGGTGGACGGTATTCTCTTAACATGGGTCTTCTTTTACTAACATCAGTCAACTACGTTATAACCTATATCTACAAATAATTTAGACACTTATCATTACTTCGTGACGGACTGACAAATCGATATCAATTAAAATTAGAATATAGAGATGCCAAAAAAATTCATAGCAATTATATCTGAGGCTTTTACATATTATCAGATTTTAAAAGAAATTTCTGTTCTTTATTAAATTATAGATTTTTAAGGACGTGGATCACCACGTCCTTCGAGCCGGATGATAGTGTCAAACTAAGAATATGCAAGGCCAAAAGGTGCTTAATTTTCATACATTTTCTCGATACACAACATGAAACTAATATAACGAACGACTCACGTAGTTACTACTAGGTACATAAGAGCATGTCAAGTTATACATAACTTAAATTTCTCCACTTTTTTAGCTTGAGAAGGAAAGAATACAAATTCAATTGCGGGACATAGTGTTAGTCTGACGTGCAGCCGTATGTATGTTATATGAAAAGCAATCTCGTTGGGTACGACGTATGGGCTTAGCTTGCCAGACAGCAGGGGTAGTCTAATGCATTTCCACGACGTTAAAAAAAAGGGGCGTATGTATATATTTATGCGAATCAGGGAGTGCTTTAATATTTTTTTTTGATAACTAATATTCCTTATTTTTTACAAAAACGGCTTCCCAGATTTAGACGCGGTTTTTTGTAGAATATCTGGAACTTAGCGGCGATAGCGTGTCAGTGTTATGTACACACGGCTGTGCGCCAGGCTACCACAATATTTCAGATTTCCTCAATTGATTTTGAACAATCCATATGAAAGCGTTACTATTTTTTTTTTCAATACAAATTTGAAGATATTCGTTTTACAAATATAATAAAAAAAACAATTGGAGATACCGGTTACGGGTTACGGTTCGCAAGCTCCTTCCGGTTTTTTTACCTTTAAAAGGGCGATTTAAAATAACAAACCTTAATTAATGGTTATGCTTGACAAGACGAGCTATTTTTAGAGTATAAGACCTCGTTTGGAAACAGTACTGTTATAAATACATAAATGTAAATTGATTATACTACTAATCAAAGGTTTAAAATGTACTATAGAAATAGAAATAAGAATGTGGATTAAAAATAAAATTGATTGAGTAGAGACAAGGCGCGGTAGGATATTTTCAAATTATTTTTCATCCAACGTCAATATTCCCTTTTAAGATATCTTTTAGGTCACTTAAAAATAGTTTATAGTCATTGTGTTAAAAGGATTTTTAATGAAAAATGCTAAAATAAATCCTAACAGCAGTTGCACAAACGGCCATTAAGGTTAATGGCACTTTAAACTGTATTTATGTCAAATTTGTTTGGGTAATGTAGCTTTAAACTAATGATAATTTTAATGGACATTTGTGCAACTAACCATAACACCGTTTTTGAGTTAATGATGTCATCATCATCATCATCATCAGCCCTTTTACGTCCCCACTGCAGGGGCTCAGGCCTTCCTTATGGATGGTTAAGGAGGATGGGCCAAGACCCTCCACGCTGGCCCAATGGCCCGACTTCGCGGTAGTAAAGATTTTATTTCATTGTAGCTCTATGCTGTGTGTGAGACAGTTCATTTTATTAAATAATAGCATAAGATGGGCTTAAATTTTGAAAAATATACAGAATATCTATACATATATATCAGGGTTTTCCAAACTTATTTTGTTTACTGCCCACTTCGAAAATAAATTAGTTCACCTACTTAAAAGCCACTACAACTTCAAATCAAATTAAATTACTTATTTGCGAGCTAATGTTTAAGCTTTAAGCTGTTGAATGTTTAAGCACTATCAGCGGAGCTAAATGAGACTTTTCAATAGAACGACCGGTTGACATGATTTTTATTCAACAAAACAGGACAGATATACGTACATATATAAACTACAGGGAGAGAAATATTGAAAGATTTTTTATTCGTTTGAGAAGTCTCTTAATTAATATTTGTTGATGTTTACAAGTTGTAGTCGAGAGTCGAGAGGTCTTTCGGTGTCGAAGAATACTAGAACGCCCCTATATCTCTTGATCTCTTACCACCCCCTTTAAGCCCACGACGTCCAAAAGGGGACGTCATCGCCCACTTTGGGAAAGGCTGATATATATGCTATATGCATATATATGCTCAATGATCGAAATTGCTCATTGAGCGAAAAAATATTTGTCAATGCGTTGTGGCCACAGTAAAATATTCATATAGCGATATTCGTGTTATGTCTTATAGAATAATAAATTATAGAATAATAAATTCTAAATAGAATAGCTTGGTTGGTTGAGTAGAACAGGCTGCATAGAAATCCATCTATCCCGTATACCTTTCACTGCATAGTAGGTAGAGCTACGATGCCATGTATTTTGCCTTGGTGTCGTCGCATGAGTGATGTTTGCGTCTGAATAGGGTTGCGACTTGCGCCTGAGTCAGTGCCGCACAAACTTTCATACCCGCGGTCGCGTATTAGCTGCTAGCCGAGTACCGGCGACGACAGAACCTTACTAAAATATATGTTGCTAAATTTCTTTAGTGAATGAATCGATCTTCATAAAGTGTTTAAATCTTTACGTTTCAGCATAATTGAACATTTCTTTGGATATATACAAACATTTTCTGTAGTCTATGATAAGACTTTTTAATTTGCAAATACGGTGAGTGATTTTATGTTCTATGCCTATTTTGCGTATATTCTTTGAACTATGAAATCCTTGACTATTTATCAACAGTTACAAAAAATGTAAACGAGTAGGTATATCATCTACCTCTATATTGTATTGTTACTTCTTAAATAAGTACGAAGAAAGTTTACTTAACTATGAATATGTTACAGCTTAAATGATGAATCGAGCTACGATGCATAATATGTGGACACTATGCATAATATCTACTTCATTTGGACAAAGTAATTAAAACAACTGAATTGATTACTTTATCAAGCTCGTATAAATATTATCTAATATAGTTTAGAAAAACAATAATGGTGTACAATAATTAAAATATTTAACAAATAATTGAAAATTTTTTGCATGAAAGAGTGTTGTGAGAATAGACTCTATACATTCACAATTAATTTGACAGAGGTATTTTTTTTAATATTAAAATTAAAAGATCGTTCCCTAATCTGAACACTGTGTAGTTCTTTCTCATTCGTATATTACAAATTTATGATTTTCACCAATCCAAGGTAGTTATTGTGAATAATCTCTAGATAAAGTTTAGTAATTATCCATAATAGCCATTATATATAATCGTTAATTAATCACATTGGCTTTAACATATATAATAATACTATTAACTGGGCTTAATTTTGTATTAATAAAGGCTATACAGTTTTTCTATAATGAATGTAACTTTATTAAGTTTTAATAAGAGAAAACACTGAAAGCTTAATTGTATAGGTAAAATTCTTATTTTTGATTCGTTATTGTCCACGCTATAATTCTTGTTGCGTTATTAAAATGTTTGCCATTCAAATCTATCCAAGGCATCTGTTAAATTAGGCGATAGCTTGCATATGACATTATTTAATATTCTGAGACTAAGATAAGCTTACCTATAGTTTATTTTGTAAAGGTTTGATATTGTTCGCGCTACCATTGTGACGTAGACAACAATGAGTGAAGATTGCCTTTGAACGCTTGTAGATATCGCGTACCGTGTCGAGTAGGATTAATAAATGTATACATATGTAATTTAAGAATCACTTCAGCTACGTTATTCTACTAAAAACAGCCACAAACTCGATTTCGTACGTAGCGCTGTCAAGACACAGAGCTTCAAAGAAATAAACCCTATATTTGGTTTTCTTGCGCTATAAGGATTGGAGATTGCTCAGTACCGCATCTCCGGTACTTCGACGGGGATTGCCTGGTTGGTTTTACGCTAACTGGGCATTGGACATCCTCGCCCTGTCTAAGAGATAAGTCAAATGTTCCTGAGTAGTGCTCCTAACCAGCAAAGGGACTCACCCTGCAACGGGTGGACCGAAAAGTTCTTCTTCGAACTGTCCCCGTGCATCGCCTCTATGGAGAGGGACATCGTTAGGTTTTAGTGAGAGGGTGTGTTCTTACTTTTTGACTCGCCATCCTTATGTGTGGCAAGTCCGTAGGGGAGAGCCCGCGCTGAGGGGAGCGGGTATGCAGTAATGCATTTGCTAACTTTAAATATAAGTTTCTATTGCGCTGCTCTCGACGTCTAGTTCGAGGCTGTTTTATAACAGAATAAATATTTAACGTACAACGTGGTGGAGTGTATAATTTTGGCAAAGGTGTTAGAATATTTTAATATGCGGCTGATATACCTGACCGCCGAATTTTATTAAAAAAAACACGGATCGCCAAAAAAACTTGTCTGCTTTTTATTTGAAACCGAATTACCTATTTATTATTTTAAAGCGGTCGAAATATTGTACACTTAAAGTTGTATTATAGCGATAACAATAAATTTCAATGGGCTATGTGTTGGAATCGACATCATAGCTTTATGTATATTAATTGTAATTTGATTTATAAGGAAGCTAAATGGCGCAGTACATAGTGCGTTCGATCTGCTATACTGTGTTAAGCAACTTTCGTTAGGGCGGGTTATAAGATGGATGGTTATCAACAATGACAGCTTAACGTGCTTTCCGAAGTACGGAGTAGCTCGAGATAATATTTTTTGGACACCCATTCCGTGACCGACCCTTGTGAAAGTTGTTTAACAATAAAGATCGCGGGCCGCGGCACTTGTCCACTTCGCCACCGAGCTAGATTGAGCCGATTGCAGTAGATTGTAGGTAACGCTAAAAAACTTCAGCGTTGACCACGACGTCGACCACAGTGCTATTACAGCATAGAGGTCCAATTTAATAAGATTTACTAGAAAAGGTAATAAAGGTTTTATTTGATTGCAGAATAGCAAAGTTGTACTTAAATAATTTATAAAATACTTGGCCTATTCTCGCAACTCGCCCGTGTAGCTTTTAACGAGCGCCTGTGAATATAAAAATAAATTCAGGCTATTAACAAATCGTTTGATAGATCTGATAATAACCTAGAGATATTTGCGGTGCACGCAGTCGCGATGTAGATACCTCTCATATGTTGTAATAACAAAACTGACATTTACATAACTTATATAACTGCATTTTATCATCATGTAATATATAATCATATAACTCATCTGTGTAAGAATTTATGGTTATAAGTACTATACTTTTTCTATTGATAAGCTTTGCGTGTTAGTATTTTTATTGTCAACGGCAAAGGTTTTCTGGTCTAAGGCCAGATAATTCTTTATATACAATATTGGGTGACGAGAAATCATGATCTGTGCATCCTTCCAAAAATATACAAAAAATCTTAACTTTAAATTATCAATTGAAGTATAAATATGAATTAAAAGCGGAAAGTTAATCAATAAATTGAACATGGTGTTTACTTTTATAGATGTTTGTCTGTCCAATTGTTGTTACGTATTAACGCAAAACGAGCCTTCAAATCAGATGGACAGGTTGTAATTATTGGTCTAATAAAGATAATTGAGGTATTTATATTTCCAAAATATACCTACTCTCGTGTCATTAGCTGTGTCATAAGCAAATAACAATCATTTTTTGTGATTGTTATTTGCTTATGACACAGCTAATAAATATTCATATTTCAATTCAATGCTTAGCGATACCAATGTAACGCAGTCCCTTAAACTGTTTTAAGTTGGATATGTAAAAAAACCGTTTTATACCGGAAGCAAAGAATATCTCGTAGTTGTTTATTCATCATCTAGCATCTTCTAACCTTTTTCTTATGAAATGGAATAGGTGAAGGAAGGCATTTGAAAATTATCCATTGTTATTCTTCTTATGTCGTGTCTAAAATATACTCAATTTTGAGTCCGTTTTGTAGTTGCCTTTCGTAGTTGGTCTAAGAAATATGAACAAGTCTTTTTTAGTAGTAGCATATGAAGCTGAGTCTATTTTTACATTTTCACAACTGAGTTTTAACGTCAGCTGTATGTAATGGATGGACATTGACCTTTCCTTTGAATAGATCAAATAGGGAATAGAATACCATGAAGGGCCAACGTGAATCGATGATTGTTAACAACTGCAGATAAAGTTGGGACTAAACGTGCTCTTCGAAATATTAAAAATATTCGCTTTATTTTATTTTACATTCAAGATAATAATGTTAAAGCTTAGTTTGTTAAAATTTAGTTTATGTAGAAATAACTAACAATAAAGATACATTATAAGTGCTCTTTTTTGTTTCAGATTCTAGGAAAGTTGGCGTTTTCCATGTATCTCGAAACTCAACAAATGATTTTATATGAAGGAGACTGGGTGACAAGAAATTTCCCTACATAGACGTCGAACTTCTTCGGAAGCCAGAATAATAATAAATTTTAATTAAAATTATATAACATAAGCCAAGATGCATTTCTTTCGTTCCTTTTTTAAGCGCATATTTGATGATCTCAAGCTGAAAAAACTTATTCCATTAAAATTATTATTCTTCGTTCACGCTTCGAGTAAGTATAATCTATGAGTTATAGTTCTAATCTATACTAATATTATAAATATGAAAGATTTGATTGTTTGTTTGTTTACATCGAATAGACTCCGAAACTACTGGATCGATTTAAAAAATTATTTCACCTACGTCTAATAACTAAGTACATCATACGGGATTGACATAATTAATTATAAGTCGCGGGAAAACAGCTACTTTATAACACGAAAGCTTCGATTAAAATACTTTAAAATAATTATGTGAAACTTAACTAGACTAGAACTAGAAGAATTATGTAAAGATTGTGTTATTAAGAATATATTTTATTTCTAATTCTGAGTGTGTATTATTTTTGTAGCTCTATTTGTGTTATATCCGTACTTGACGATTCACATGCGTGAGCTTGGCATCAATGTGGAGGAGACTGCCATAATGTCTGCGGTGACGCCCGTCATCTCCATCGTCATGCCGCCTTTGGCCGGCATGCTAGCTGATAAGATTGGTAACTTTAGGGTGAGTATCTCTATCTTTTATACACCATCCAATCTAATGCCGCCCCTTTTTTTCATCGAGGATATACGTTAGTCAATATCTCTGTTGCCTCGCGAGCGACATGTAGTATGTGGAAGTATTCTCCAAGATATACACTCATAATAATCCCTATGGTGTACTGTCTTCTGGAGGATGACACAGAGGAATCCGAGACACCACGATATGCATCTACGGGGCCTTCGATCCACATTGGGCACATTGCCTTCGAAAACCTGAGTGCTAAAACAAACTAGGACACATTTGGATTGTTGTCTTGTATAACAACAAGGATTATTAGTTCACGTCCGAATGTTTTGGACGTATTCGAGACACGTACATATTATTTCATTAGTTTTTTTAGGAGGAATCCGTATAAGTGCTTTTTTATTGCCTCTTTTTTGCTATTTCATTTATCGAACTATTAGCACAGATATAAGATACATTATACCATCACGCCAGTCCTCTGAATATGTTTTTGGATTCCTCGGCATGTCTTAAATATGGTCACCGAGTGAGTAATTTATTTCTTCATTAAAATAGGGTTTTGGTAATTCCTAGAAAAATAATTATAATCTGATTCATTAAATTTACATTAGCTCGGTGGCGTAGTGGATAAGCGCCGCGGACCGCGATCGTAGTCTTTAAGCAACTTTCGCAAGGGTCGGTCACGTGATGGGTGACCAAAAAATTATTATCTCGAGCTACTTCGTGCTTCGGAAGGCACGTTAAGCCGTTGGTCCCGGCTGTATTTGCAGTCGTTAATACCCTCCAATCCGCAATGGGCCAGCCTGGAGGGTCATGGCCCATCCTCCTTAACCATCCATAAGGAAGGCCTGAGCCCCTGCAGTGGGGACGTAAAAGGGCTGGTGATGTGATGTGAAATTTACATAGAACATATGCAAATACTTCTATATCAATTGACTCAGAAGTCTAAAGTAATGAACTATCTTACAGACCACATAGTGGGAAAATTTAGATCCTGTGAACTATAAGTAACTCTATACGATTTAATTGGGACATAATAAGGTTCGCATGTAGGTCTATATTACCTACATGCAAATCTTATTATTTATGATTTTAATACAAGTTCAAGTACAATATAGAGGTAAATATATTTACAGTATGCTGAATTGTACGTTGTTCCCGTATTTTGTTACTTTGACGATGGCATTGGGAAACAAACCCAATTTCCTCTCGAAAATCTGATAATTTTAAAATCATATTAACGAATTCATAACCGTGACTGACATTGAAAAACCTTACATTCAATCAACAATGGAAACAAAACACTTGAATGACACTAAATAGTGACACCGTTTGACAGTTGAGTACAGATCAACAACAACATAATCATAGCATTATTGATGGTAATTTTAATGCGAAAACAAATTATCAATTTGCGTGTTCCATTCTTGTGGCCCTGCCAATTCAGTTTAAAGCGTTACACAAAGGCATTCGCGTATGGGAGTGATCAGAATCTATTGTACACGATAAATAATCAGCAGTTAATGTGTAGAGGATGATCCTCGACGTACCTAAAGCGTATCAGAACTAATTCAGACACAATAAACGGCAGAACATCGATAACCTTTACCTTGCATTGTTGTCGCTTTGCTTCCGTGCCGGACGGCGTTTAGCTACACGCATATATACCTATATGATAGGTTGAATGAATGAATGAATGAATGATTTATTCTGGTACATATATGAGACAAAAAAGATATAATTTTTAGGATACAAATTACAATAAAATAATTAAAATTCAATAATAAAATAACATATACGCGATTGCGTCTCACGACTGCACCAAAAATGGTCACCAATTCAGTTATGTCAGTCTGGTAGCCTGATGCTGGTTTTCAATAGGCACATGTTTTTTTTCCCTTTTTCGACACAAGGGTATCAGTGAATACCAAAATAAGTAACTCAAAACATCGTAAGTCGAGAAGATCAGTGGTTTTAGTTATGAATCATTTAGATTTAATCTTTAAATAATTTAGATATATTTAATATAAACAATTAATCAACCAGTTATTGTTAATTAAAAATAAATCATTATAAAACATTACTCAGTTATAATGTTAATGGTTCTACCTATGATACTCATAGAAGTCTCTTAAAAAGGGTCTCGTAGACCCTTTTTATATTGTATATCAAAATTAATGTTTTAACATTCCTACAAATATCATAAATATGAAAGTATGTAACGCTGCCTAGTAAGCTTTTATGTTAGTAACTGAACTAATTTTAATATTTAGATATTCAGATATGCAGTTGATTTTGAGAAAAATATGGATTAACATTTATTTAAAAAAAAAAAAAACCGAAGAGATTGTAATAGGGGATTAAAGTTTATGTGGAAGTTCGTCATTGAGAGTTACTATTTGGACGAAGTAGAAAAATAATAAGCTTTTTGAATATTGCATGTACTCGGTTGCTAAATGTTTTGTAGATCTTTGATCCATGAAAACTAGTGTTTCAATTTAAGTAAAGGTAGTGAGTGGAAAAGTCAAAGGCGGTTACTTCGACTCAAAATAGTGGAATGAGAAGACATAAAAAAAAACATACAATAACCAACTCTGTAGCGAAAGCTACGAAATCGTTATTTTAAAATTCTACAAGGAATTTTTGAGTACTTTGGGAATTAATACTTTAGGCTTATAGTAAATACTCATGATATTTTGGAATTTGACATTTAAAAAAATCATAGTGCGCATGACTTTAAAAAAAATTATAGAGCTAAGCTGGTACATTAGTTTAATATTAATTAGTTAGTTTAATAATAATGAGTCCAAACTAAATGTTTCTAAGTTCCCCGTAAAAAATGAAAAAAAAAACTTAATTCAAAAAATGTATGTATTATAACTTTGTCTCAAAAGTCTTTTGTATCTGCGTCGTGAGTTCTTTAAGGTCAAAAGTTGATAGTTTTTTTTTATATCTCGGCGTATATCGCTAAAATGATGTCATCATAATGTTAGGAGATTATATAAAAAAAAAATGGCTATAAATTTTATTTTAAAAAATTTTGTGCGCTCCATTATTAATGCGTTAGAGGATTGAGAGCACGTTGCACAGTAGGCAATATGCGTCTGATTCAAAAAAGGGTTAAATATATTTTATTACAATCATTATTGCTTTATAATAAAGTCTATCTAAATATTTTCAACATTAGTTTGTTTTCGTCTTGAAAATAATTATTAATAAGTGCAAAATAAATGCGATAACTTCAAAATATTCAACACGTATAGGGATGTCGTTGTTAAAAAAAAATTTAAAATCGATACAATAACATCAATGTATTATATCGCAAAATAAACAACTGATTACAATTTAAATTATGTTTTAGGCTTTTATTTTTATTTCACCAATTTGGTAAATAATATAATTTATTAAAAAAGTCTTAAAAAATCGATGAGTTGTTAATCGAATTGGGTAATTGAATAATAATCAGCCACTCAAAATCCATATTGATTTAAAATGTTATGACATTATCAATCTCTAGTCGTGTACTTTGACTTCACGACGAGCGCGCTAAAAATTCCGGTGTTTAAATTGCTCGTAGCTATTACTTATTTTCATCAATGATTAATGTCAAAAAATTTTAGTTTTTCGGTGCCGGGTATTTTTTTTACAGTTATATATCGATGTAAATTATCATATAAAAACATTTTCCAATAATGTGCATATTCCCTATTGTATTTTTAACCAAATAAACTTGGTATAGAATATTTAATGTTTAAACTAATAAATAATACATTTTATTTTTTTACATAATTTATATAAAGTATTATTCACCGAGATATATTGTTGAACGTTCTGTATACTTGTAGTATGTATGGAGTGGTATGGATGAGCATTATGCGCTCTCCTTTTTCTTATCTCAAAAAAGGTTGAACGTACAAAATGTTTAAAAAAAATTTGTCGTAAATTTAATTATTTATAAATCTAATAATAAATAATAATGTCATTGGAGCCATAGAAATTGAGATTATGTCGAAAAATCGATATTTTAACCTACCTTGAATTATTTATAAGTTATAACGCCGACATTGTATTATATAAGATTAAATGTAAATTTTTCGAATTACTATATTTGATAAATTTTGCATTCAGTGCTTTATTGATATTTGACTTCAAGAAAAATGCTTAGAACATTTGGTCTTATCCGAGACTCAATTGGCTAGACTAGTCACCGGGATTGCAAAAAGTTATGGGTTCATATCCAATATCGGGCACCTGGAACTGGTGTTTTTTGGAAGATAAAATTTTAGAACACATAAAAGAAACTATACGAAGACCGGCTTCTTATCTCTCATTCTGAGGAGAAAAACTAATTTGATTGGGCTGAATGGTGTTGTAGCCAGTCTTCACTTATTGACTCGTAAAACATAGCTTATAGTGACCTACTAACACCGAACAAAACTTTTCCATATGCATAGAAATGTACGCTTGTTTGTTCTATTTTCTGTTTCGTTTCTTATGGTAAAACGATAACAAGTTGAACTCAATGTATTGTTATTTTTAAAAAATATTTTCGTATTTCTGTATAAAGTACATATTTTGGCAATTTTTAACTTTTTTGAAACAAACTAGTTTTTTAATAGCACTATTGTTGTCACTAGAATATCCAAGCACGGATCTTCGACTTCTACCATAATGTGTATGAAAAGATTTGTGAAGCTCGTTCTTTTGTGACTGTAAGTACTTAAGTATATGCCCGGGGCAAATGCCCCACTTGCCCTCTTTAGATCAGACTTTGCGAACATTATTTATACTGCCACCACAGCGAAGCTTGGCTGAGGTGTCCAGTAAACTATTAATTACAAGGCTATTTGAAAATTTGCAATGCCTTCTATTTATTATAAAAAAAAACCGTGTTTAATTATTCATTCATCATGTTTACCACATTATCAAATTGTTTTTGTTAACATGTTTGTTTTGTTTAACTGCGGTTGAGTTATTTATTGAATACGCCATTGAGCTGGTAGTGAAAGTTGGAATCTATGCCTGAAATATAGTCACTATGCATATTTTAATGGAATTATTTGATGTTGTTGACGTTTTCACTTTCTTTGATAGAAATGGTTTTTAACTTAAAAGCCTTACATCTAAACTGCCACTAAAAGAAAATTATGTAAAATAGGTATTTATCATTATCATGGAGTAATTCACGTTTTTTTTGTCCAAAAGTATGCTACCTACTTCCAATGTTAATAAAAGAATAAATAAGAAAAATTAAAAAAAGTTTTTTTTTAAAATCTCTTATTAAATGTGTTATTGGACCATCTTGTATGGACAAATCCAATGAGCACAAATTCGATGGGTTTGCTTCCTTTAATTACAGAGGTCATTTAAGTTATATTGTGCATGCATTAAAAATTCAGCTAATTGTTAATGTTTTCAATTTCTGGTGTATAGGCCTCCCTTATCCCTTAGTGATTGGTGGGTGTTAATAACTACAGATGCAGCCGGGACCAACGCACTTAAAGTGGTGATAAATTTAAGATTACCTATCCTAAAACCGGCCCTTGCAAAATTTGCTTAACTTCCACATTGTAGAATGAACACGCTAACCATTGCGCACTAACATGGCAAGTTATTTTAAAGCTTGTGAGTAATAAAACATATAGTATTCAGGTTTAAATTTCCTTGTTAATGAAAAACGGGCTTTCGTAAGTCTTTGGTAGCTAAATAAGAAGGAAGTAAGGTTAGATGTTCCAAGCTCGCAAGGATATCTATCCTATCAACTACTCATCTAAGTAGTTGATCGTAGAAAATGATACCGAGTAAATGTAATAACACCAATAACAATGGCGGTTACGTTTGACGACGGTGCGCGTGCGTCACAACGAGCGTCTAACGGAAGTGCCCTCCATAACTGCTTTGTGGCACACGGGCAACGCATGGCGAACCACCGGTGGTCACACCTAAATCGTATCCGATCTTCCAGAACCGATGAAAACATTTGAATATCAAATTGGAAACAAAACATGTGTGAATGCGGTATTTTAAACCCGCAACTTCGCGATTGGATTGGATACGACCAATACTTTTGGAGCTTTTTATTTGCAAACTCACAATTAAATCTTACCTATAATGTTAGTATTGTCAGTTTATACAGATACATAAAATTGTAATCGTGATTATGACTACATTGGTAGGAGGTAGGATCAATCAACTGCTTAAAGTCCTATTTGAAGTAAGGAGGAGATCAAGATATTAAAATTAGTCCATCATGCCATTTAGTCACAGACTTGTTCATGTGATAATTGAATTCAAAATTGGTTTATTTTGTAGGTCTATATTATTAACTTGCAGCTACTACTTACATGATATGTATGTTATAACGACTAGTATAGCTCATTGGAACGGAGAAATATTTAGAATTAGAACAGAAGGCCTACTCGGCTTCCAAAAATGAAATTTCATTTATTTTCTACTAATAACCCCGAGATTCGAGTCCAAGCTGGTGACTGAGGCTGGTGAATTTTTATATAATATAAAATAAAATGATTTCAAAAGCAACCTTTTGATTGGCGCACTCTAAAAAGTAAAATATACATTTTGAAGTAACATTATAAAGATAATCGGTGAGAAACTTGTTTCATAAATTGTTGCATAGACTTGAAACTCAAACATGTAATATATTTACCACGGATTCTGCGAAATCACCATAAGTATTACAATTTAGATGTAGGTATCAACTTTTTGTTATATTATAGAGAAAATGTTAATTCCCTTTATTTTAATATTATATTTTATTTTAACGGCATAGTTTATTCTTCGTATCTAATATTTTTATTAATGAAGTTTTTTGACAATGTTCTATTATTATCATAAGTTTTTTTTTTAGTTTTTCTGTAAAAACTACAAACATTTTTACTTTATCGGATCGTCCATCCTAATATCAAGCAGCGGGTAGGTATTTATTTCATTTGCTCGCTATCAATTTGCTACCACAGATTATTATTATAATAAAACGACGCTTAAAGCATTAATTATAAGTGAATGTTATATTTAAGTTGAAGTTGCCCTTTAATTTGGTATAATCCTTTTTTATTATAATGTTATTGGGTATAATATCTGCAATCACGTATTCTGGAACTTGTCAAATTCTCTTATAGTTGTTTCCTTATTATATCCATAGCTGGACATAAAGAGTTTGAACCAGGTTCTATGGGAGTAATATTTACACCTAAAAGTTTGTAAGTTTGCATATTCCCTGTATAATATGAATTTGGACTAGCACTAAAATTGTAGTTTTAGTGTAAATTCATTCTGACGCTTAACCTTGTTTTTTAAATAGCACTATTAAATTATAACATTATATAATTTATGGCTAAACTTTTCATAGATGACTTTATTAAGTTATGTTATTTTCTCAGACATATCAAGTTTATTATGTTATTGATAATATTTTAAAATTATCACAAAAACACTAGTCTTAAATATTGAACGTCCGACATCTCATGCTGGGGCTATCAGAAGAACAGAGTGTTAAAAAAAATTAAATTATTTATTCAGTCTAGGCTGTTACAAGCACTTGTGTTTGTGATGTAACACTATCACAAAGGTCATTTTTTGTAACTGCCCCATTTTTTTTCATCTTTTATGTTGTGTTATTTTATAAAGAAAGGTGAATAAAATATTTTTTTCTTTCTATTCGATTACTATTCTGTGTATATTAAAGAAGTAAACGTAAATAATGTGATTTGTCCTACAGTTGTTGCTCGCGCTGTCTTCCACGCTCGGTGGTGTGTCGGCTCTGTTGCTGCTGGCTGTACCAGTGGGTCGTCTCACTATAACCTTCCCGCCTTCTGTGGAGCTGCTTGCTACATGTCCGGATACTCTGAGACTGCAGCACATGAACGAGTATCCCTGCGAGCCTCTACATCCCTACCCTTACAACGTTAATCTAACGTTAGTTTAGTTATTAAACGAAAATATATTTATTATAATTTAAAGTGTTCTTAAAATGATTCAATAATAAACAAGAGTAGAATAAAAAAAAAATTGTAGAGGAAACATTATTACTTTTGTGATTCGCCCTTCAAATACTTGAAAAAGACAAATTTTATCTTATTTTTAGTTAGATTTCAATTGAAGAATATTATATTTGGAAATCTATGAATTAAAAATTACTAGGGAATCTTTTATAGCAAATTTTCCAATATTTTTACTTACAGCGAAGACTATATCAGGTTACGATCTAAGATTTAATCCGTGTTAGATTCCTAGATATATTACCTAATAGGCGTTTCCTATTATTGCAGGATCGTGTCTTGCGGTTTCGTCTGTGAACTTCCAGATGGCTTACCAAAGGAAGATATTAATACAATCGTGCATGCCCTCTCTTATGACATACAAATACGGTCACCGACAGATACTCAACGTCTCATCTATCGGCACACTGTATCGGGTTTGCTGTCCCATACTACAGCTCCTAAGAAAGATCACAGCACTACACGTATAATGACAAACGACATATATTTTAATACATCCATCGCGAAAATATCCGATCAAGAGATATTCTTTCCAGCACCGCGTCTCTATCAAATGACATGCACTTATAACTCCACTGACGCCATGTGTAAATTAGGTGGTGAACAAATTTTCGATGATATTCCTAAAAATATTAACAATGAAGAAACTTATCAAGTTCGTGTCTCTAATGATGACGACAAGAGAATAGTCAATATTGTCGGTATGCATGTAGGAAATTCTACAGAAGCGGAAGAAAATTATCAGTGCACAGATTATTTTAACACGGTATGAACAAATTTTGAAATAAATAATAAAAATCATTTAGTGCCATGAAAAGTTAAGAGTTGTTCCATTTTAGGTTTTCGAAAGGGAAAGTGTAAAAGTACACGTTGCGTCAATGCAGCTGTCACGTTGTTCAGCTGCGTGCGCGGCGACCGTACCTCGGAAGACTCTTTGTGAAAACAAAGTACAGCATGTCGAAGTGGACCCGGCTTTCACTTTTTGGGCTTATCTAGCCGTAAGTATTCAATGTTAAATAATATGTCCGTCACAAATTCAGGGAAATAATTACTTCTTATTATATATGATCAATTTTACATTCACTATGTTATATTGAAAAATGTTTTAAAAAATCTTTCCTTCTCAATCCGGGCTCTTTTCGCGCTCAGATTGCAAAAGATCAAGGGTTTTTTTAAGACAAAGTGGATTTTTTAAGCATTTTTCACAGGAAAATAATTACTATGTTAGCCAGGAAGCGTTTATGACATTCATGTCTCGTTTATTTTCGAGGATAAAGTAATAAAACCTAATGGAGGAGAGGTAGATCTCCTAATTCTCCGACCGTTTCAAGGGAACCACGTGGCGGGTTACCGTAAACGCAACGAGATCGAGAGGCGGAACCGTTAATGGAAAGATTGCCGGGCGATCGTGGTTAACTGGCTAATGGCGAACTTGATCCGACCCGGCCAATGCCTGCGGCCCCATTCCGTGCTGCACCCATCCAGCGCTTATCGATATAATACTTTTTATAGATACGTTTTCTAACGAATGCTCGACAAGATCTGAATGCGATCTCTTTAGCTGATTAACAGCTTTCATTATAATATAGAAATCTGTTTGGATTATATCTGTGGAGAGCATTTATATGAAACACTGAGGTGGTTAAATTTTCAAATGTTGCCGAGTGCATAATTTAACGTACAAATAGATTATCATAAAACGTTTAGTGTGTTTACTAAGTTAGGTACGTAAATAGCCATTTAAATTAATTTTTTAATTGCTTGTTTTGCTGTTACAAGTAATAAATTCTCGTAGTTGTAGTTTGATTACAATCCGCTGTTGTAGATATTTTTAAGTTATAAATATATCCTTTCTACAGTGCAAACACTGTACAAAATATTTATTACTAACTAACTAACTATTTACAATATTAAATATGTATTAATCAATAAGTTCAAAATAACGTGGACCGTGCGTGTTGCATTATACGTAAGGATATTATATCAAGATATCGGATTTGCACTTTTATTTGTTGTTTAGTGTGTGATATGAGAACAAGGGACATAATTACTATTATACAATTATAAGGAAATAGTTACTGATACTTTAATGTTATCTAAACCAGCGCATATGTATTGTATTTCTTAATATATAGTTTGGCCTTCAAGTTTTAGTGTATCAGACATCTGAGGTTACTCGTTAATGCCCCATGTATCTTCAACGACGTTTTTGTAGTTCTCAAGTAATGATGTTATTAATTGATTTTTAAACGAATTATACAAAAATGTAATATATTATTTAATGAAAAATGCTTAAAAATCTACTTGTCCCTTGATTTCTGAGTGCCAGGTACAAATTAATTCTAGGATTTTGTTTTGCAGTAAAAAAAAAAAACAAAAATTAAATATGGTTATACAAAAAACACTAAATATTTAGGCTGTTCAGATGAAATTTTCAAAATGTATAACCAAATTGTTGAATGGTGCCCCCTGACTTACATCCCAAATATAATTTTGTACAAATTAGCAAAAAAGGAAAAACTGAACTCTTATAAGTTCCCTCTTGTATATCTGGCTCTCTGTCTGTCACAGGTAATTTTGTAAAGATGTTAGTGACCCAGTTATACGGAAGGTATAACGTAAATAATTTAATTTAAAACAAGGCAGTCTTTTAAGCCGTAAACTAGAAAATTTTTTACAAACTTTCTTATGTGTCGTTAAATTATTAAGACGTGTAAGTAATAAGTATACTTACCATAAATCATACGCTATTTAAACAATTAAGCGTGATTGAATAACGCATACCATAAGATTGTGATATATAGGTAGATTGAGATATATTATACCATAGAGATTTTGGCGGCATCATGATACATAAGCTAGTAGAAGCTTGATAGATGCTTGGTGATTGTTTCGCAACGGTCTTAGGCGTTTCGGCCTCGTCCCACATAGGACATACACGTCTTACTTACTATGCATTCTGCTGAGATTATTTATCAATTTATTTATTGACACAATGCTTGTTGCCATGCAAAGATAATCATGGTTTCTTATGTATCGAATTGATACGAAAATGAATTCAATAGGTAGTTACTGTCTAATCGGAATACATAAAAAACGTTGTGCGTATAAACAGCCTTGAGGATGGGTTATTCTCAGTTTGGAACTATGAACCTTGACTCTTCTTGTTGTTATTGAAAACACATTTTTTCTATTATTGGTAATTATTTATCGTATAGGAAAATAATGTACCCAAATTTGCGGATTTGTTGAGTTGTAAGTTCTGTAGGAACTTAATACATTTCTTGACAATTGGCATTAGAAAAAAAAGCAACTATTATTTAAACGAATTTCAGATATTATGTCAGGTTACTATGAAGGTCTAATCCAATGATTTTAAGACATCTGTTGATGTTTAAGTTCAACATTAACTACAACATGGTGTTTTGTAGTAACATGATCTGCTGATGTCTTTTCCAATCTAGTTTAAATTAGGATTGTGTAAAATATAGCCAATCTACAATCTACATCATATGCGGTGTACACCGCATATGATGTAGATTCCCAAGGGTGAAAGAATTTTTAAATTCGGTCAAGTAGTTTCGGAGCCTATTCGATAGATTAAAAAGGATGATCAAGGAATAGTGATGAAGTAGATAAAGTGGATGAGTAAAGAAAAAATAATGGGTAGGATGAGACGTCATAGGATGAATAAGGAACAACCCAAACAAACATACAAACCAACAAACAATCAATTTTTGTTATAATATTGGTGTAGATAATAGTTGCATAATAATATTTTTTGATTGTGGAATTGGTTTTCAGGTACGAGTATTTATCGGGATAATCGGAGGTACTGCGTTCGCGATGTTTGAGGGTGCTGTGATAGCTATTGTGCGCGAGCAGCGTGCTGACTATGGCCTGCAGCGGGTGTACGGCAGCATTGGGGGTATGATCTCCTCGCCTCTGTCTGGGCTGCTCATCGATTACGTCAGCCGCGGCAAAGGATATACTGACTTTAGGTGAGTTGAAGCCGCGGAAGACATGAAGAAGTTAGCGCGCTCGGTCTGTGATACGATTGTTAAGCATCTTTGTTAAGCCAGTCGTAGGATGGGTAATAGAAAATTATTATCTCGAGCTCCTCCATGTTTCGGAAGGTACATTAAGTCATTGGTCTTGGCAGCATCTGCAGTCTTTAATACCCACCGACCCGCACTTGTCCCCCGTGGATAGGGATATATATATCCCTATATATATCGCTATTCGATTCCCTGGATAGCGATATCCATATAGGGATATATATATCCCTATCCAGGGTATATATATCCCCATCCTGGATAGGAATAGATAGATAGCGCAGTGGGGACATATATGATGACCTTCTGAAGCAGATGCTCAGCATACATGATTGAGTCGTCATCCAACTACATTTAAATATTTCGATCAATATGCGATTCCTTCAAGCCAAGCAGCTGGTATGCCAGTTACAAGGTGTCGTTATTTTTGAGGTCCCGAGTTCGGATCCCTATTGGAGTAATAAAGAAAAATGAACTTTAATACATTATCTCGGATCTGGGTGTTATGTTAACTTCATTGTTACAGATTTCCATAAGATTTAATTTTGGATCAGAGCAATGTATGTGTTGAGCCTGATATTTATTTTTTTATTATTCTATCAATGACCCTTGGAACTATGTGACTCACATATTAAATTTGCCGATGTGTGCGTAAACTCGTGTTTATTGAAGGTCAAATATGACAATGTATTTAGCGCGGCAAAACATCAACATTGCCATACAGATCCACGGTATGTCAGTGTAGTGTCTGGTACATTGGAAGAAAATGTAAAATAATCATAACTTTGGACATACCCAAAAAAAAGACGATATTTGAATAATGATCTTATATTTACGTATCTTTGATTATAATAATTAAAGCTACTTTGTTTATTGTAATAGGGATTGAGTGTAGCGACACACTAAAATTATTCATTTTTGTCTTTTAGAAATTAACTAAATGCATTAAACACATATTCTTTGTTTGAATATACACTTAGAAGATAATAATGAATTATACGAAATTTTTTTTTTTACAAGAACATGTTGACCTTACATTACGTTGCCTTCATATGTTTACATAAATACGTATGGTTGTCAACAAAGAACATTGTCTGGCTATTTTCATTGATAAGTCATATTAGAATTTCCTAAAGTATATAATATATACGATATGCGAACATTATATCCACTACCCTTCATCTTGCTTCAGATAATGATATTTGTTTAAAGTAATGTTTGTAGGCTAATAGAATTTATAATGAAGGACATTCACAAACAACGGTTACTACACATAATTATTTATTCATTTCCCTTATTATAATGCTAAATTGCGTTTATAGTGTTCAAATATTTATTTCTTACCCTATTAATATAACTATTTGCGTTTGTTAAAGTTCTGACAGTACCCTTATATTATTAGAGGCAGATCATACATATTTCTTTAGAGGCAGATCCACAGGTTTTCTAGCCGAAACCGAACTTTTCTGACTGAAACCGTGGTACATGCCGAAAGTAGCCGAAACCGAAATAAAACCGAACTATCGGTCAATCACGATTTTTTTGTAGATCTGACATCGTTACATAATATGTTTTTAAGAAACCAAATGCAATTATATTACTTGTAGTTGTAGTCGAAGTATTACAGAAAGGTGTATAAAGGTCGAGTGTCGAGTGTGTATGGTTGAATGTCATATATTTTGTATGTTGTTCTGACGTTCCGTTGGATATGCACTGATCCTTAAGCTTGATTCCATGCTGGGCAGTTCATTTTTTATAGCATTTTTCAAATAATTAATACTGGTATTTTTTATTTACTTTATTTCATCAAAAGTTGATACAGCTTAATTAATATACTTTCAGGCCGGCGTTCTATTTGTACGCGGTGTTGAAAGTGGCTTCAGGTGTCCTCATGCTGAGCATAGATCTCGAATTCAAACAGCCGGCACAGAACCTTCTTGAAGATGTCATCTCAGTGTTCAGAAACATCGAGCTTGTTGCACTCTTCATTGCCTGTTTCATCATGGGTAAGAAATCATCCAATCGGAGGTTATCATGGGAGGTTAGTAAGTACAGGGGTGAGTCAGCTTCCATCTCGGGCGAATAATTTTCTTATTGGAGTTAGAACGACATATATATCTTATGTCGCCAACGAGCCGAGTTAACTCACTACTCTAGGGCAGATGATCCGGTTTTGACATTTTAAGATTATGACCTAGTTTGGGTCATTTAAAGAGTTACGTGGAGGTGAAATTTAACACATTATAGCTTACGTTAGAATTTTTCCATAATACTACATTTCAAAAACCATTCACAGTAAATTTTTTGCTTAGGCGTTAGAACGCCTCGAAGTTCCAAATGGGCAAAATGGGAGCAGTGGCCAAAATTGGGTCTTCTGCTCTACTTAATGAAGTTTTAAGGATTGGTACACGCAGAAGGAGGCGAAACAAAGGAAGTAGAATCGTTTGTATGAAATGATATGAACCGAAAATGATATGAAATATCACCTATCATTCAGTTGCGAGGTGTGAAGAAATTTTATTTCGTTCGACCTATTTGACTTCAATTGATCTGGTAAAAATCTTATATCAGCATATATGGGGCAACATGCACGTATAAATAAGTATTTAAATATAAAACCTTCTTGGATAACCTTGGTGACTTAATGAATTACTAAAAGCGATCGCATCACAAATCAGAGAAACGCTTGAACAAGTTAGCTACTAAAATAGACGACCTTATTTTCTAAACGAAACGAATAGAAGGATCGCAAAAAATGTAGCCAATGCTTTTTATTTGATAAGCCTATTTATATCAAACATTATTTTTAACTGATTGCAAAGAGGGAGGGGTTATGAATTTTTTGATTATTACAATAACAAAAACCACAAACCAGCAAAGGCTCGTTCTTTGATAGAGAGGCCTATGTCGTTGCAGTGGGAACATTAATAGGTATAATAATGATAAAGGCGATTGGTATATAGATAAATAAAGACTTTATTGAACACAAAAATAAAACAGTTTACAGGGCATTTTATAATTAAAGTGGGCAAAGACTTAGGGTAGGTATCTGTATTCCAAACAATATTATTGCTAAATATGCCTTAATAATATTTTTGTTTGTCATTCACAATAACTTAAAAGATTAATGAAGAAATTCAGATGTAACTTTTTATTGTTACAAAACAAAGTGCCTAGGCAAAGTACAGAATGGTATCTTCGCCTAAATACGCAATGGATTTTCATGCGGCTTTCACTGTTGGATAGAAAATTATTATAATCAATTAATTGTGAGTTATTGCCACAAATTAACTATGCTCACAGCGAATTTAATTATTGGAGATTTTTACCAAGCCGTGGGCACAATTGGTGTTCTGTTTTAGAAAGATTCTAATTTAGTAAGATTAAATTCATTTTAGCACGTTTGTCTTGTAAAAATATACTCTTTTTAGTTAAATATTTAAAATTAGGTGGGCCATTATTACTAGCAAATATTATATAGCAGATATACCTAGTTAATAAAGAAGAGTAACGATAAACAAAATTTGCATTGTTATAAAGAAAATAAATCTGTATTCAAACTCCAAAGGTCATTTTAATTAAAAAGTTTAATTAAAAGATAAATAATATTTAAGCAATACGTACATAAAATATTTTTTTATTATATTTTTTTTTCTATAGATTACAGGAAACATGAATTTTATGATTTGCCAATAGCTGGTTTTTCTATTCAATTTAATTAACAAATTAGATAGGCATATATTGAGAGTATTAACAGCTACCTATGAAGTATCTATTTAAGATTTTTTTTAAAATTATATTGTGTACCGAGATGATCTGAGTAATATAGTGAAATCTGCTAATAAATACTTATTTACTACATGATGCAAGCAAAGTGTTTATTCAAATTAGATATCGTGTTTTCACACATCTAAAATATTTATGTCTTTGTATAAATTAATGAAGATTGAAACTGATTGATCCTTCAAATCTAGGGATTATAGCTTTCATTCATAATTAACAGACATTGAGTTTAAGGTCTGAGTTCGAGAGTGTATTGCTATTTATCGATTGAATTCCAATTGTTCAATTATTATTAGTTCCTACGAAAATACTGTAATAACTACTTACGTATAGTTCTTATAATTTTCAAGTTAATCGGACTTAAGTTTCAATACAAAAAATTGTATTTGCACTATTATTATTGGTCATATAATGTAAGTACTGAAAAAAAAAATAATCAATCTAGCTAAGGCTGAGATTGCGTTGTCTCTAATCACACGCGGTTTAAGTTTTGCTGAAAACACAAAATCGCTTAGGTACGGTAAAGAAGATAAAGTCAGGTAAACGTTTCAAACTGCGACGAAAGTTACAGACTTCCATTTAAACTTCCTAAAGAACACTAATTATTTTTTATTATTTTTTATCAGATATTAATTGATTTTACTGAACGTTGAAGGTACTGCGTGGGGGTACATCGAGAGCTTCCTGTTCTGGCTGCTGCAAGACCTGGGCGCTTCACGGTCTCTGATGGGCATTACTATCACTGTGGGGGGCATCGCGGGTCTGCCGTTACTTGTGCTCTCCGGGCCTATCATCCGCCGTATTGGACACGCTAACGTGTTATTCATAGGATTCGTCTTTTATGCCATTAGACTCCTTGGTAAGAGTATAAGTAATTTTAAGTGAAACATTAGATTTTAAACGCAAAATACTGCCGTTGAAATGACAAACTCTTCCTTATTATAAATGTGTGTGTGTGTGTGTGTGTGTATTATTCCACAGCACCTTAAGATTGACTGGCAGAGCATTTAGCCCGCCTTTGTACGGTCGTGCATGAATCATTAAATAAAGAAAATTAAAGCGACTGTTTCCGTCCACGATATGACATGTAACATGTAAAGTTCTAATAAATATTACTATTATTAAAAAATAAAATAAATAAATGTTACTATGAGGAATGTAGAAACGTTAAAATGTCTTTTAATTCTTGACAGGTTATAATGAAATCAAAACGGACAAAAGATAGACTGTAAATATAATTCCTTTACACGTAATTTCAAAATTGTTTTAAATTGGCGGTCAAAAGTACTTAAATTTTGACATTAAAAGAAACATATTGAACTTTTCTGAAAATTCAATTTCACTTTTAGTATCGGAAACATGCAAAAAATCACGTTTTATGCTCCCCTTAAATATGTTGAATGTCGAATGATTTTATGTATTAATGATAATTGTAATTTTATGATTTAACGGTGATTTTAGTATATTTTGTTATTGCATATTTTAATTTTAAATTTTATTTATTATCACTTATGATTGTGTATATGAGTGTGTAAATGCTTGAAATAAATGACACTATTATTATTAAATATTTATTTAATTCTGTTTAGTAGTATTTGTGTTATTATTGCGGCAACAGAAATACATCATGTGTGAAGATTTCAAATGCCTCATTATCAAGGTTCATGAGATGCAGCTGGTGACAGACAGACAGACGGACGAACGTACAACAGGTCTTAGAGTACAAAGATTTTTTACCCTTTGGGTACGGAACATTAGCAATTGTATCACTACTAACGTGAGAACGTATGACCCTCTAGGGTAGATAAGACAATTTCCAGTTAATTTAGTTTATATTGACTATTGTGTGTTTCAGGTTACTCGATGATATATAACCCGTGGCTGTGCCTCATATTCGAGGCGCTGGAGTCTGTGACGTCATCGCTGTCGTTCACCGCGGCCGTAACGTACGCGGCCCGTCTATCTTCTACCACCACAGACACATCCGTGCAAGGTCTGCTCGGGGGCCTCTACTATGGCGTCGGTGAGATATATTATCTACCAGTATTCTCTCAGCGGCTTCACCCACGTGATCACTAAGGAACGTTTTGGTGGAATAAAAAGTAGCCTACATGTTGATTCAGTGGCTTAATTCTCTTTTTTTTTTAATCCATCACAGTGGCCTTGAATTTGACATTTGAAAGATATTCACGAACTGCACGCAACAATTATTTGAAATGTGATAGCTATTGCTATTGCGACGGGTTTTTGAAATATATTGAATGAACGTTAAGGTTAATCGGAATTGTTTAATCAAAGTGAAAGATACAAATGTCTTTGAAAGTTATTGAGAAATGTGAAACGGAATTAATTGCCTATGACATTTCTATCATTCATATCATCATTCGACCCTGTGATTCGACCCAAAAACGATTGTAACTTTAAAAGTTACATAATTATAAGTTACACAATTATACATTAAAAGTTAAACAAAAAGTCAATATAACATCCGCTATACGTTTGAAGGGATTGTGATAGATTTTCAAATTAGACCATTAGGCCTAAAACTACTGAACACATTTTAAAAAAATTTGGTATAATCATCTGTATATGAAATTTTGTCAAAATGGTTACAGTAGTTTTTGCGCGAAAGTGTAATAAACTTACATAAATCTTCACAAACTTTCGCATTAGTAGTAGGATTTACCATAAATTTGTATATTCTGTGGGGTTGCAACAACCACGTTACATCTTGTCCTTCTCAGGACAGAGTGGTTGAAAAGTTTTTAAGGTGCATTTCGCCTGCGCTACCAATAAACAAGCAACCTTCGCAAGGGTGACCAAAGATTGATCTCAAGCTGTGTATCAAAAAGCAGTAGTTTAGTGCTGCCTCATTCATGTTCTCCGCTGGGTACCATTTTAAACAACTTTCAACGACCAACAACGAGCTGAATGTTATTAAATGGTATGCCAGCCTAATAAAATCCCCACTCTGCCGTCTTTCATAAAAATATTAGAAAATTAAAACAATTATTTTAATATTACTTTAGAAATAAATTATTACCTTTCATTTTTACGAGTAATCATAAAATACCTTTAATTATAATTTCATGAAAATGCGGAATTTTTAACACACTTCACCTTCCCTCTTCGCCTTTCCTATGGATGTAATAGCATCAAATCGATTTGAATAGGAAGAATAAGCCATAACCATAACTCATCCCGCAGACCCATTGCGGATTAGTGGGCGGTAACAATTGCAGATGAGGCCGCGACCAACGGCGTGCTACGTGCTTTTTGAAGACTAGACGAGCTCAAAATAATCATTTTTTGGTCACTCATTCTATAACTGGCTTTTGCGAAAGTTGCCTGAGAACCGTATCGCAGACCAAACGCACTAACCAACCAAGCCGCTATCGACCTTTTTTGTACATATTTGTTCAAGTATGAATTTAATAAGTGGACTGCTAATTATTAATTAGTGCTCCCACTAATTATGTGAGCACGGAGGAGCTCGAGATCAATCTTTGGTCACCCTTGCGAAGGTTGCTAATTATTAATTAGTGGGAGCACTAATTAATAAAGGTTGCTAATTATAATTAGTGGGAGCACTAATTTTAAATGTGTCACAGTCGTCTTGAAATTGACATTTGAAAGATTTTCACGAACTTGATAGCAACTGCCATCGCGACGGTATTTTGAAAGATATTGATTGAATTATTAATTAGTGGGAGCACTAATTAATAATTAGCAGTCCACTTATTCAAAGGAGGGAGGGGAGTAGTAAAAAGAGGGAGTGATGGGAGGCTTGGGTCGGCGGAAGCTCACCCAAAATTCTACTTTCTGGCTAATAAATCATTTAGTAAGCAATTAAAATTAATTCAGGATACAATTGTGTACTTGTGATTTTTTCAAGTTGGGGGCCGATCTAATTTACCTATTAAGTCTTATGGTTTAATTGAATTATCTGCATAAACAATCAACTTATTTTTAAAGATTTGTCTTATTTTATTTTGTTTCAGGACGAGGAGCGGGCAGTCTAATAGGAGGTTATCTGATGAAATATTTCGGAACTAGACCAACATATCAAATATTTGCGGCCGCCACTTTATTGACTGGTTGCATTTACTTTTTATTCAACAAATTTTACATCCATAAGAGAGCCGTCGGTGACGACAACGACCTCTGTAAAAAGAAACCAGCGGCTGATGTTGAGTGTAGAGAAACGGGTAACGTAGAGGCGGAAAAAGCATGTTCGAATGCAGGTGCTATTAATCTTGAAGGCAGCAAACCCAAAAGCGTTGCTATAGACGATAAGGTTAAAGCAACTGATTTGAGTCAGAAGGTAAAAGTGACCGCGGAAAACATAGATGGCGGTAGTGATTCTGGCGTCGACAATCCTGCCTTCAACGATACGGAAAGTTCTATCGAAGCGAGGAAGGAGGACAGTAAAACTAACGGGTAGTGTTGTTGATATGAATCTAGGCTAGATCGAATATAAATACAAATTAGTTGTAATGTTTTCTATAAAGACAGATAGTTGTAAAGTATATGTACATATATAAGAAAAGGTTATCATTAATTTATTTATGTACAAAAAATAAAGTTGTTGATAGTAAATATGAGTTTTATTAATGATTGATACTAATAAAGGTTAGTCGTCATATTACTGATGTTAGAAACAAGTTTGAGTAGCCAAGTTTTTGTAAATTCTGTCTTTTTCTATAAATTTAAATTTTAAGCCGTATTTAATTCATAAAATGAAATGGTTTATTCATTTGATGCAACAAATAAATATATTACTATTTTTACAATATTTGTTTTTCTCAAGACCGCCCGACCGACAGATTAAATTAAGAATACTTTTACTGTCTCTTGAATTTGTAAAGAAAATAAAGCTTATATAAGATCATATCTTAACACTGCAGGTAATGACAACCTGCGAGTTCTTAGGTTTAAATTTATCTAGACCGTAGCGAGATGCAATTTCTAAAGAAAATTATGAAACGGATTTTTTTAGTTTATTCTTTTATATTACATTATTTTGATAGAAGCAGCGGATAGCGAGCGCCATATACAAATTTTAATATTATGCTTAACGATATGCGTCACTTGTTATGTGTTTAATAAGAATTAGCTAGGATAAATAAAAGTATTTTATGTTGTCTTAATATTTGATGCAAATGGAAAAAGAATAGAAATCAATACGAGAAGAGCCAATAGAAATCAACTTCGTAGACAAAGTTATTTCTAGTCTTCAAAATTATTGCTAATAAATATAACTAACAAAATATGTTTAACACTTTTACTTTGTATTCCTATTAAAATAGGCAACGATTTTTTTCCTTCAATAATAAATAGTAGTATAGTGGTTTTGATGTATTACTATTTAACTTATAACATATTTCTTATTTAAGCATTCTGAATGCCCATGTTAACAATGTATGAATGTAGTTTTAAGAGATCATTAGATATAGACCTATAAACGTTTATTGTATGTTTATCATTTTCATTTACAGTGGACAAATTTATATATTTTATATAAATATGTAACACTTTCTACTAACGCTGGTGGCGAACTATTGTTCTGCTAATAGTGTAAATTGTTGCTTGGGTTCGGGTCATCTAGATCGTGCTTCAGATGCTCTACTTACAGCTACACCGCTATAAATTATCACAATTTCACACTTGACATGTGTGACATTTGAAAACTTACGGTCCAGAACTTCATTTTTTACGGAGTCTTCTTATCATCCACACGGCGTGGTGAACTATATAAATGTACAATTAAAGTTATTGAAAAAGATGAAAGTCTTTTTGAGTATTATCTTCTTGGTGTGTCTAACAAAAGTCGTGTTTTCGAAATCCAATCCGTCCGTGTATGTTGTGACTCCGTCATCCAAAGGACATAGTGATGAAGGTCGATCCGCACCATTTTACTATCACAACTGGAAAAGAAGAATGGATTTTCCAATAAACGATACAAGTACGACTACCTCGACAGTGCCGCCGACATCGAAGACGCCTGATTTGATTTTCGCCGAATTTGAATCTGACGGTGGTGATAATATGAAAAAATCCATACGAAATTTATTGCAAAAAGAAAGGGTTAATCAGAAAACCACTACAATAGCGCCCACTTCTACAGAAAATACTTATTTGCAGCCGATATATGTACCTGACGAAGAAATCATGCATATAAAACAAGATGTACCGATAAAAAAAGATGAAACAATGGACAGTGGAATCAATGATAATTTTTATTCGTATAACGAGCACCTTAACACTGATTCCACTCACATTTATCTTCCTTCCACAACTACAACGACGTTACCACCGCAGCTGGCGAATGTTGAAAACATTTGGCATATTATCGACAACGAGAAACGTCATCAATACTCTAACAAATGGACAGAAGTACCTATCGATTCAAGTGATGATCAAATAAGCTCTAATGAACCAAAAATACAGCAAAATTCTGAAGATGAAGAAAAATCCAAAACTGAAATGGATGCAATTGATGAAAATTTTGCTTTTCCAGGGTATGTTGCTTATTTAACTATATTATTTATGATATGATAATTATTATTAAGTAATAATAATTAAATTGCAGAAGATTATACCTTATTCGAATTAAAGTGTAATTTAAATATTGTTCCCAGGTTTCCTTCTAATCCAACTAATGGTGGTGAAAATGAATCCAGAGCTATTCGTACTGATCCAAATGTTCGTTTTCCTTATGTCAGTTTGAAACCATATCAAATGAAAAATATGAAGAACCCGGTGCCAAATACATTTTCTAACAGTAAAAAAAGCAATAACATGTTTAATAATTTAGATAGTTTTAAAGAAATTCGCAGTCCTGTCAGAGGTGAAGTGGAAGATGTGAGTCATATACGACAACCTATCGAACGCTATAATCCTGCGCAACCTTATCTACCTCATGACTACGGAAGTAAATCAAAACAGTCTGATCCTTCTTCTAATTTTCCATCTAATCCATCGAAGGCAGTGGCAAACTTAGTACCACCACCCCCGCCTCCGCCACCTAAAGCAACAGGGAACGATTTTCCTGCTCCTACAAATTACGAATCATTTCCACCATATGCAGTCCCAACTCCAGACGCAGTCCCAGATTCACCTCCAGCGAGCCCACCATTTTCAATATATCCATCAAATGCTCCTGTTGAACCCCCTTCGTTTTCCTCTATAAATAGTGACTCTGGAGACGACTCGATGGACTTAAGTTATCAATATAAACCTCCATCGTTACATTTTCGTCCCACTTTGCCTCCGCAAAATAAACCGTTTAGTGGATATTCGTATAACAAGCCTCCTAGTAATAACAAGCCAACAATGACAATGGATATGCCTCCATTAATGGACATGAGTGACCAAGAAGATTCTCCTCCTATGACTGATGATAAACCAGATTTCCACGGGTATCATAACAACAAGCCTTCAACTCAAGACGATCATACTCCAGGAAATTACGATCCCCATGGTTCTTATCATAACGATAATGATTACCCTGAGTTGATTTTCAATAAACCACACGGAGGTGATGTTCATGTAAAAGGTGAAAACGATATGAAAGATGACGCAGCAGGAATGATGCCGCCGCCACCACCAGCCGACATGAAGCCTAGCATGGATTTAGGGTCCGCAATGGATGACCATGGTTTTCCATCAGGATTTCCTGGTGATTTTAAATTCCACCACGATTTCGATGACCATGACTTTTATCACCACCATCATCATCCTACAACTACAACCACGACAACTACAACGACAACTGAATCTCCAAGGGTCAACAGATTTAGTTACTACTACTTAGGGAAAAAACTTTATTATTTGCCTCTGTATTTCAGTGTGTATTTCATTGTGTACGTGGGTGCTTTGATCATTAAGGCAATATTAAGACATAAAATAGTTTATCCAAACAGTTGGAGACCGAACGATACGACAAGCACGTTTTTCTCTAAAAGATCTGTCGATACTTGGAATTTATCTAACGAGAACTTGCACGAAGCAGCTGGAAGAATTACGAAAGCCATTGGGGAAGCTGCTGAAAAGTATATTAATGAGACTTAAATAAAAAGTATATGTTATATCAGCTGAATGTTTGTCGTCTGTATATAAAATATTAGTTAGCTTTAATTTAGCTATTGAAGCAGTTGTGGACTGGACATATTCAATTTTATATTTACGAGTATTTTCATTATATGGTTATAATTTATAATATATTACGAAAAATTTATTTGAATATCGTTCATTACCACAACACAAAAATTGTATGACTACCCATTAAGTTTATAAGAAATGCTCAATAAATTATAGTGATTATATTTTGTTTATTTCACTTTTTATTGCTTTAATATTCTAGAGTAGCTCGGTGGCGTAGTGGATAAACGCCGCCGCCCCGCGATCGTAGTCGTTAAGCAACTTTCGCAAGGGTCGGTCACGGGATGGGTGACCAAAGAATTATAATCTCGAGCTACTCCATGCTTCGGAAGGCAATTATATTTTAATGCTGGATTTCTGGGGTTTATATACTCTTGATGTTTTGTATTAGTTACGTTATACAATATTGTTATCAGTTTTAAATTGACCCTTAATATAGTTCAAGTCGTAAACATGTCGCGGCATCTTTTTAGCATAGTAGATGATTAGGAGTGACCTTTCAGGTCACTGCCAAAATAATTGATTTATTAGAAAAAAACAAAACTATTAGCGATGATTTATGGTTTTGATAAGATGATATTTGCGTAAGTGAACTACTTGTTGGTCACGTAGCCCATTACTTAGAAATGATATGGAAAAAGGGTGCGTACATAACAATTTGCAGTCGTTAATACCCTCCAATCCGCATTGGGCCAGCGTGGGGGGTCATGGCCTATACTCCTTAACCATCCATAAGGAAGGCCTGAGTCCCTGCAGTGGGGACGTAAAAGTGCTGGTGATGATGATGATTCTAGAACACTGTGGCCAGTAGCTAAATATAATAAGAGATACTTAGGTACTATAGAATGGCTTTTATTGCACAAAAATCAAAATAAGGTTCAAAAGAATTGTGAGTCTTACATGCAATAATTACTATATATAAATAACTTACTATAGTAATATAATGATCGACCATTTAAAAAGTCTTTCAATATTTGAAACCTGCGTTGTTGAACAATTTATGTGTGCATAAAGCAAGTAAATGTTACGTAATAGTGGGATGAATGCGCTATTTCTAACTGGAACGTAAAAATATCGGTAATATTATCATCGTAGCCGTGAGAATAAATTACCTAAGTCTTTGTGAGATAATAGAATATTGGAATATACATAATTTATTTATGCGTACAACATTGCTTCTAGAAATTATTCACTTCAAGTAAAGATTTCTTAACTACTACAAAACTTCAAGTTATACGAGCGTATTATTTTATATCTTCAACGATCTTCTTTGAACAATACTAAGTTTATCTTAGCTGTTATGAATGTATTAAATATATAGTTAATTTCGTCATATGAAAAAAGTCTTGATTTTTGCAAATGTTCTTGTTTTATTTTTACTTATTTAATCAATGGTTTCGGTTTTTAAATTATTTAAGCTAGCAAAAGCAAAAATAAAAATTGGTACATTATATAGATTATATGGTAGACTTATGTAGCTCTTAGTCGTGTGAAAACTTTAGATGATATTATTTTGTTCGATTTAGATACAAATATTCTATTGAGGAGACCACATGACGAGAGAGCATTAGCAAAAATGATGAGGCTGCGAAATTTATAATTAATAATTCGTGGCGAATAAGGTTTACCAAGAACTCGTATAAAACCTGAGTCACTTCAGACTTTGCGTGATTAGTGCTTAATATCTGATTTCTTTTATGAGTGATTTTTTATGAGTTTAATATCAGTTCCTTTTAAGTTGACTTAATACGCTGTTGAATGTACTGAATTTTAGTAGTCACTAAGAAAGTAAAGTAGGTATATATCATTTAAACTTAACCGCAGAGCTTATTCTGTTGATTTTTTAAATATAAGTTGTTATAATCATCTCTTAAGGTTTGGCTGGGACTGGCGTTCCAAATTAGGCGCTGCAGATCTCCGTTTCTTTTATGTCAATAGAGAATAAATAAATATACAAATATTTAACAACATCACATACATTGCTCAGATTCCAAGATGAGTAGCTAAAGCCCCCGTATTATGGAGTATCTGAGACAACGAAGGTACTCATCTCATCATGCTCATCTTGTTGACCAGATTTTCCTAAGGCGCTATGGTGATATCTTTTATAGATTAAGACAGGCTGTTGGAGTGCCACGTCAAGTGTTCCAGGTCTTCGTTTTTATTACGTCAACAGAAAATACTCACCATATTGATCAACTTTTCCTGAGGCGATATTTTAAGAACTCTTATAGATTAGATGGGCTGCTATGGTTCCACATCAAGTGCTCCAAATCTTCCTTTTTTTTGTCAACAGAAAATGTTAATTGTGTTGATTAACTTTTCCTAAAGCGCTATATTAATATCTCTCATAGTTTTGTCGGGGTGCTATGGTTCCACATCAGGACTTCATAATTCGGAGGTTTTCAGAGCTAAAGACAATTCAGTCTCATAGGCAGAGTCAAGTTGGTATGTTTTCCACATTGATGACCAGACTAATCAAATTTCTATGGAACCATACAGACGCTACTCTTTACTTTTTTGAATGCAAAAATAATTTTCAAATCAGATAAATACCGGAGATATGCGATAACATACATAAAAAAATACGGCCGAATTGAGAGCTACCTTCTTTTTTTTGAAGTGGATTAAAAACAACCTACTTTAAAATAATCAATAAAGTCGCGCTAATTATAGAAGAGAATAAGAATAAGAATAATTTATTTGCAAGAATATGGTATAAAGAAAGGTCTTAGTTTTATTACAAGCACGGAACACATTCACCCCGTTTGGGCATGCAAATTATAAAATTGGCAGTAGCCTATAGTAACTAAATTGAATTTAAAATAAGAATCTCATAATCAAATTGAAAGAAGAAGAAAAAAAATAAACAATTAAGTAATTACCAAAATTATGAATATCCATAACCATATTCGTCTTAAATCTATACTTAATACACATGTCATCACAACTAAAATTGTCATTGTCACATCTAGATAATATAATTATATGTCAAGTTTTAAAGTCAAAACACTGGTTTAAATTGGTTAGTTTTGACCATTTTAATATCATTTGGCACTTTATTATACACTCTTACAGCCATCGAATGACTATTTCTGGAGCCCAGGGCTGTCCGCATTGCTGGGAGTATGAGTTTATCAGGACGTCTAAAACTATATGTCCGAGGTACATCATATAAACGGGGAAACAGTTCTGGGTGACTCCTGACAAAGACACATATTTCAAATATATATAAACATGTTACAGTCAAAACATTAAGTGCCTTAAATAAAGGCCTATATGAGACCAAAACGTCTACATCATATATGGCACGGATGCATGCCTTTTGAGCAATGAAGACTACTTGTGTGACATGAGTTACCTCATAAAACTATGCCATATCTCAAAATTGAGCAAACCTGTCCATGGTAGGCCTGAAGGGCGATTTGTTTGCTTGTGGTTTTCCCCAATTTCCACAGCGCAAATACATGTGAATTAATTCTTTTGCATAATTTATCTATGTGTTTCTCCCATGTGCACATATTATCGAGTGTTATCCCAAAAAACGCGACTTCCTCAGTCTCCTTAATATACTGACCATCGTACAATATTTCCATGACTTTTTTCTTTCCATTCTTATTAATAAATTGGATGGCTTTCGTTTTTTTAACATTGGCAGCTAGGTAATTATGTTGTAACCAATTTATAATAAGTTCCATCGTTTTGTTTAGTTCTTGGTTATATGCATCTAACTGAAGACATGGAACAACCACCGACACATCATCGGCAAATTGATGTAGATTAAAAAAAGTAATGGTCCCAGAATATTTCTCTGAGGCACACCGGGACCATTTATTTTAACATCTGACTGAAAGGTTCTTAACGTTCTATATTTATCAATATTGGAGACCTCAACATATTGTCTCCTGTTTTCAAGATAGGACTTAAGCCAATTTAACGCGATTCCCCTTATACCATTCCTTTCGCTTTTTAGGAGGAGCATATCAATGAGAAACAAAATCAAAGGCTTTGCTCATGTCAAAAAATATAATTTAAAATATAATTAACACAATATAATTAATATCTCACTATTAGTATAGTAAGTGAAAAATTAATACTCGATAGTAGCTCTGCTATGTTGTTTTGTATTAAAGGTTACAAGATTTTACCTAATTCGAAAATATTACAGAACTGTTTCGGTTCGTTAATAATTTGTAGTAAGCATGACAGTTTGGACAACGAAAATGGAAGAAACGTTATGAAGGGTTAATCGGCGGTTATACTAGGTGGATTGAAAAGTTCGCGGCCTGACACATATACATATACTTAAACTATTTTAATGTAACTGACTTCATTCGATTAGTTTACTCTCTGGTTGTCAAATTGTCAAATTCTATCGCAATAGCATTATTTAAGGATCATCGCCATCTTTTATTCATTTCATTTTCATTTTACATGTAAAAATTAATTAATTTACTTGACATTGGCAGAATTGTGCGAAATGCGCAGATAAGCCATTATTTAAAAAAGAAGAAGAAGAAGAACTGTATTTAAATTAGACTGAATTTTGGTGGATCATCGCCATCTTTTATTCATTTCATTTTCATTTTACATGTAAAAATTAATTTATTTACTTGACATTGGCAGAATTGTGCGAAATGCGCAGATAAGCCATTATTTAAAAAAGAAGAAGACTGAATTTTGTGAGCTTTTGTGCTTTGTGCAGCAAAGAATGCAGAAAATTGAGCAAGGTTAATTCCAAAAGAGATTCACGAAGATATGTCAACAACATTGGGGGAATTTACTCCATCATATACTGTGAAAAAGTGGGTTGCTGAATTTAAACGCGGTTGGGAGAGTATTGAAGATGACCCTCGCTCTGGCTGGCCTATGACGTCTATGACTGAGAAAAACATCGGGAAAATCTGTGATCTGATATTGACAGATCGGATATTGACCATCAGGGAGATTTAAGACATTATTAGTATCTCGTATGAACGAACACAAAACATCATAGTCAATGAACTTAGATTTTCTAAGGTTTGTGCGCGGTGGGTACCCAGATTGCTTTCAGTCGAACAAAAACGAATACGCCTCACGATTTCTCGCAACTGTTTGGAAATGTTTGAGACTGATCCACAAGATTTTTTATCCAGATTTGTATCAATGGATGAAACTTGGGTACACCACTACACCACAGAGTTAAAACAGCAATCCAAGCAGTGGAAAAAACGTGATGAACCGCCTCCAAAAAAGCCAAAACAATAAAATTACTTTTGCTTATATTTTATATTGTTTTCTTGCTGAGACCGCGAACTTTTCAATCCACCCTCGTATCTAGCACGCTTAACGTGTAAAGCAAATTAATGAAAACTACCCACCCTTGGTGACACCCGGCATTCGCTGTATTTATCTGCTGCGTTACGGGTCAGAAAATTGTTTCACTTTGAAAAATAATGGATTATTTATCAGACAATATTATTTCACGAAATCGGAATAATAATGATATTATTCCGATAAATAATCCTTTTTAATTTAATAATTCTCATACAGTGATTATCTTGTTTTTATTTTAAAGTAAGAACTAATTCTGTATGGGTACTTAACTACTGTTATATTGAGGAAAGGTAGAAATATATTAAGGGTTTTCTATAATAAGACGATCGATATTCAATATACTACGAAAAGTTTCGTGTCTGTACCAAATTAAAGTAAGTAATTTTTAATGCCACGAAGCTGGACAGAGAAACAACTTATGATCAGGAATGATATCTTAAATAATTCTAATAATAATCGTTATTGTGATTCTGTTTTGATCGTGAGTCTCCTAAAGATAAAACTTTGTTCAAGACTAAAATCTACCGAGTTATCAACTTCTCAGTACTTCTTTGACCCATTCCTTTGATACTTATTACTGTTATAACGAGTATTTGCACTTTAATTGCAATAGTTTGATGAAAGTAGTTCGCGTAATTTGTTGTGTGAGTAGACGGTTGGTACGAGTATTATAACTCTTGTTGCTACTTATTCTCTGAATTTTTATTTTGCGGGTTTTAGTAATACCTGAATGCCATCTAAAATATCAAAACTAAATATTTCTTTAAAAATAAAGATTATTTTTTATTTGTATATCAATTGACTTGCACTTGACCATTGTCTATAATTGAAGTTTGTTATACGTTACGATTATTTTCATTATTTTTTAGACTTCTTACTCAAATACCAAATCTCATCTAATTCAAAACGCAAGAACTTTTATATAAAGATTATCATTCTATTTGACCCTCTTTGGAGTAGATCTCGAAAAATATGTTCTTACTTCCAATTTTACTTACTACCTTCCACTACCTTCCAATTTTTAAGTCTCTGCGACCAGGGTTGTAGATTGTCCGTTGTCATTTAGACGGTTATAAGTATATTAAGATAAATATTTCTAGTATTATATAATAGAAAAATAGATAAATGTAAATAAAATAACAAACGTATGTATAATAATTTGAATATGTATATACAATCATAATCATATAAGAACAGAATTGATCTTGTTTTAAAAGTCACAATGATATAATAAACAGTATAATATAAGAAACAGTAGTTCATCAACTCAACCCCATCCCGTCAATGTCAACAATATAAAAAACAACTGCAATCAAATTTGAACTCTATTTTCAACATAGAAATATTTAAAATCACGTGTAGAAATTTGGTACTTTTTCTAACCTCACGGTACATTACTCATACTCCTATTTTCTAATCAATCTACAAAGTCACGAAAAGGTAAATATCCACCTAAATCCGATTCCTTATTAGAGGACACAAGCGGGTTTGTAGTGACCTGTCCAGATATTCTGTTATTAAAAAAACAGCTTCGAACTCTTCATTTAACACAGCACTGTCATTACATGGAAGATCTTTAAAGGTAGTATTTCGTTGAACATATAATGTAATAAATTAATAAATAGTTAAGTATAATATAATAAAAGAAAGAGATCGTCGTTTCTAAACGTTTAGTTAATAATTTTTAACTACAAAATCACGGATCGCTAAGAAACGTCACAAACTGACAGAATTTATCATATGACATATGGCATTCAACGTTGCTTTTAACCACTTTTAACGAATGATCCGTCAGTCTTTCAAAAGTGCTAACGCATACTTTAGTGATACGTTCTACAAATTTCCCGTTAGATTCGCACCAACCTTAAAAGTATTAGATAAAATCCGGTTATGATATAATTATCAAAAATAAGATAATAAAACGAAAATTACACTTATATTAGTGTCATTGGGACTATCACTAACCACGTGTTGAATAGCTTTCACTAGATACGTTGAACGACAAATTTAATTTACACATTTATCACATCTAGCACACAGTGTTTGAGTTAGTCATAACGTAGGAGCTCCCTATGTTAGGTTAACGGGAAGAGATCTTTGAAAATCGACCAGTTGTTATTAGACTACAGGCGAATACAGCCAAAAGTGTAACTTAAAACTTTTATTTTTATTTGTAATTGATTTTAAAGCATTTTTTAATTGAATATGGTGTTGAAGCGAAGTTTATTATTCTCATGTCATTTGCTACTGTGGGTATTGGGTGCGCTTGCGCTTTGGGCGGGCGGTGCGAGCGCACTATCACGCTACGAATCGGCTACGCCGCACGCCCCGCCTTATTTTAAACACAAGTACATACCCTTACAGTGAGTATATTTCGTTTTAAATCTATTTCGCTCTTATAATTCAAAATTATAGTATTTTTGAACACCCAAATCTTAGGTATTAGGTATAATTTAATAGTGTTATTAATAGACTGTTCTGTGAGTATCTTGACTTTTAATCGTGCACTTAGTCACGATTCACAGAAAACTAAGATACTAGACGCAAAATAAAATATCTTCTAAAACTTTTTTAAAGTCGTTTTTGAGATGTCACACTCTTAAGAATTCTAGGGTTTGATTCCTGATCGGATTAATGTGAAAAAGAAACTTTTCTATATTGTCTCTACTGAATTTGGGAGTTTATCATCATCATCGTCATGAGCCCTCTTACGCACTGCAGGAGTGCAGGCCTTCGTAATGGTTAATGAGGATGGGCCGTGACCCACTACTCAGGCCCAATGCGGATTGGATGTTATTAACAACTACAAATTCAGCCGCGACCAACGGCTTGACGTGCCCTCCCAAGCACGGAGTAGCTTAAGATAATCATTTTTTGGTCACCCATCCCGCGACAGACCCTTGCGAAAGTTGCTTAACAACATTCGCTGGTTGGGGCGGTAATCCCATACTTACTTTCATTGTTTTGGATTTCCGTAATACAACTTCTACATTCTACAATGATTTTTTGAATAAGTTATTAGATTTATATTTTTGACAAATAACTCTATCATGAAAAAAAAAATGAAATTTCTTAATTGAAATGGTTAACGACCCCTATTATTATTTATGCATTTATATAGATAATATTATTTGTATCAGTCCCGATAGTTTCGAAGAAGTGGATGATTCTCCCGATGGAACTGAGGTCCCCACCAGCTCGCGCATGCCGCCCTCAGAGTTGATACTAACGGGACTGCGAACATTGCTCGACGTCGTCAGAAATATCAATAAGAAACGAGCTAGTGCACGCATCGCTGCTCCATTGAACGCAACCACTGTAAAAGTAAGAATAAATCGTTAGCATATTATAAAAATGTAGCTTAATTACTTCAAAAATATTGAAAGTATACCTCACAAACCTCATCGGGGTGGCAATAGGCTTGGATCGACAACTTTCCAATCAGGGCAGAAATTTGATATTGCGTTTACACCCCACCCCTGCCAACCCCGCGCATACACTTTTGACTTTATTATATTATTATAATTTTGGCGGATGGCTGGACCTTAGTCCGCCACTGGACCAGTGATCCACAATTAAAGAAGTATAAATCCCGGACGAGTGCAGATGAAATAAAAGCTCTGAAAGCTAGAAATATCATACAATTTACTTTTCTTATGTCATTTGCTAGGTGGGTTTAAAAATGTAAATTAATTCCTTCGAAAATATTGAAAATGAAACATACATTTAGGATAATCTTAATCAACCTAAAAGACGAAAAAGCTCTTAAAGAAATAGAATTTATATCATACAATTTTCAGAGTCTACCAAGGCTGAAAGAGCTATCACTGCTTACGGAACTTCATAAACCTTTAAAAGACGAATAATAATCATCGTTAATTAATTATCATAGAAAGGTCTTCACTGGGTGGAAACATATATATAGAGGTCCCTAGCCTACTCTTAACTATGTGGGCATCGGTTTATACAAAAGTTGTTATATGTTTTATTTTATCATAAAGTTGGTTCTTGTTAAAAAAGGTACATTGCAAAATTATGAATGTTAAATTATAAACATTCCTTGAAATATAATAAATACATCAAAATCGGTTCGAGCGGAAGATCAGCGCTGAGCTGGACATGTTTTGGAACAAAAAAAAAAACATCTAAATCTGACTACATTTTATGAAGTCTTCTTTATTTCATTTGTAATAATGTAATTCAAGTGACTATGTGACATAATCAATTACTAAGAATTTTCAAAATAACCTTGTCATTGTGTAAATACTTATTTTTTTGGCATTCCTATAATGTTTTGACTTGCATGATTTAGACCTTAGTATTTAATTTAAAATGTATATTGTAAAAGACTAGCCCAATGTAACTTTCTAAGTTATATGGCCAATAAATATTATGATTTGATTGATTTTGTCACAAATAAATGGATTTTATATATTTAAAATAGATATTTGTTTCTAACAAAAAATAGTAAAATAAAACAATGTATATGAATAATATTTCTGGTGTTAATGACTGTAAATAGCATAAGCCTATTGTCACAACGCGTAGTCTTGCTGCGCTCGTGTATAACCATTTTGCAGCTATCTGTCGCGTTACTTAGCGCTGTCCGGTCACCCACTTCAGGAAGTACCGTTACGTTAACCTTTTCACGATCCGACATGCTTGTCACTTAGTGCCTCTATATATGTAATTTAAGAGTATGGCTAAAAGGAAAGCTAGATGATCGACAGGAAAAGATAGATCATTGTATTCTATGAAATAGAGCGAAAACCTTATTTTTATTGAGAACTAACCCTTAGATATTAAGAAGATAAATATTGTTTTACTCTTATTATCTATATAAACTTTTTCGATTTAGCTATTTTTACCGACTGCAAAATCGAAAAGGAGGAGGTTATATGTTATTTAATTGAGAAACTGCTATTGAAGTCGGCCGGTCATCATTCAATAACCTACAGGAAACCGTCCGACTTTAATAACGGTTTCTTGAATAATTAAGTAATAATGAATAATTAACTTTTAAGATAAGTATTATTTTAATTTTTTTTTAAAGTTTGAAGTCAGTTTTGCTTTTAAGCGCGCTCACAATATAGTGCATAATATATCTACTGTGCAATTGCCTGATTTATACATATGTAAAAATATTCAATAATTTTAAGCCATTATTCTAGCTATAAGATACGACACCTAAGCGAATATTATGAAGAAAGTTCGTTTTACTTTACTAAATTTACATGTATTTTAGTAACGACGAACGAACGATAAAGAATGATGATTATGGATTTGATATCAGCGTTACTTACTTAGTTATTTATTCCAAATTATCCAGATGGTTAATTTATTTAATTATACAGGCACACAAAACAGATTACAGTCATAAAAAGTAAATACATATCTGACAATATAATTAGGTCTGAACTACAATCTAGAATTATGCGTACACAACATGGTAATAACAATTGTCTAATAAACTAATTTAAAATGTTTATATTTATTTATATATAGTGAAGTCAAAGTAGTAACATGAAATGATATATCGCCGTAACATCGGTAAGATGTCGTGTTATAGGATACGACATCTTACATTCTAGTCATAGGACTAGAATCAAGGCTAGAGAGTTAGGTGGTCGCTCTGCAGGTGTGCATATGCTTAAGACGATGGCATTATAAAGTGTGTTTTTTTATATTAAAACTTTATTTTTAGTACAGTTACTGATTCTTGACAATTCAAAAGTGGTGAAATTCCATTACAGCTTTAATCCTTTAGAAGTTGAAAGTTTACGAATTTTAAAAATTTCTAGACTCGGTACTTTGAGCTGTGTTACATATAATTGCTATGGAGTGCAACAGTAATAAAGTTAAGCAATAAAGTAATAAAGTTAAACAAATATGCAGTGGCGGACTAACCCCATTGGAGGTCCAGATCGATAACTATTTCCAACCGAGGCAGAATTTTGATATTGCTCCACCCCCCGCGCGCAAACATTTTTAGATTTATATTGTCATTATAATTTTGGCGGATGCCATTTGGAGGCTCCCTAGGACCGGAGGCCCGACGCTGACCACCCCCTCTCCCCCTTAGTCCACCACTGGAAATATGCAATTCATTTTGAGTCAAGCTGTTTGTTTGTTTTTGTCTTACAATATCTACTTCAAAAACATTAACGTTTCCATGCATTTCCTTTCAAGTTACGGAAAGCTTCTTCACGGAACGATACTGCTGGGAATAGCCGAGGTTTCGAAGATTACTATGATGAGCATCACGACCATGAAACTACTACCACCACCACGGAGAAACCCATGAAACAGGGTCGGTACACTGATCCCTGGGCTGGATACTACGACTGGATTATTAACGAGGGTTCATTCAAATTCTGGAGTGCCTTCCAGGTCAGTATTTATTCATTATTAGCCTATTATTATCTCTAATGCTGGGGCATAGGCCTTTCCTGTAGATTTTTTTTTATATTCATTTAATACCAGTTTTATTTCAAAGGTAAAATGTAGACTAAAGTTCGATGCACATCTGACGGAAGATGCGTTGTGTCTCGTCAGTGGCAGAGCCCTTGTATCTTGGACAAATGAATCAGTTATACACTAACGTTCTTTTAGGACACGTATTATGAATCTTTCGTCAGCTTGGCTCGACCCTCAATCCTTCTTTAATCCTAATGTAAGATAGATATTAATAAATAATTATTTTTTTTCAATATTTGAAAGTATTACACGTTATTAAGTGTAACATGTGAAAACGTGGTAGCGTATAACAGCGAATTGGAGCCGGTACTTTTAATTGTTGGTTGAAATTTATTGATCCATTGCGTTTCATAATTCTGTGCATCTTATTCAACTTTCTGATTGAAAGAAAATTGATTTTTATAAGTTGGGTGAAAAAAACAAAATGATTATTATTTTTCGATGACAAAACGCATACTTGACGTGCAATAATAAAACGTGGACGATAAGGACGACTACATACGACTGATTAGGAAAGTGTCACATTTATCAAGGAGTATTGAAACTTCGGAACACCATTGTTTTAATGCAGTAAATGTACGATATTAACGAAAACTAGTATTTATTATTATTAGATATAAGATTAAATATAAGTATTTTCTTTAAATTATACAAAACAACAACAATCAGAAAATGTCTTTGTTATTACCGAAATTAGGATTTATGGATTAGATATATTTACTTTAATTATATGAAACAACAACTATCAGTAAATTTTTATGCGTTTCATAGTTTGTTTTTTATTCAGAATAGCTGTTTTCCCGCTACTTGGCACGACTAAATTATATCCTATCTCAACCGTGTATGATATAGCTACCCGTAAGGGAAAGAATTTTTGAAAGCGGTTCATTAGTTCGGAGGCAATTGGATGCATACAAACAAACAATCAAGTCTTTCCTCTTTTAATATTAATATAACCTTGTTGAAGAAATATGATGCGATTGCTTATTTATGTTATTAGAGATAAATAAGTCTATATAATTTAAATTATTCTGCGCGTCCTCTAAAGGCGGTACCCAAATATTATAGATGTCTGCCAATCTTCTTTCCGTACACATAAAAACATTGAATATGATCTTTGGAGATATAAAATAAATGCTGGAACTGTTTAACTCGTACATTACATCCTTCCCATCTTTAGTTATTACAAAATGCAGGAAACTTTTTTTAACACTTTATCATTGTCAATAGTTTCGGCCTCATGTGCACCGTAGCGCATCGTAGCGCAAAAATATTAATGTTAATTGGTCTAAATAAAAAAAAAAACTTGGTATAACTAGTTGTTGTTATGATCAAAGTAACAACGTGGAGTCATAACATTGACATAGTTTTGTTAATTTGCCTGTGACAATGTCGCTTCAAGCATGGGTGCCGGCTAGCTAAGGAATTAAGCACATTGACGGACCTTGCACGTATAATTTATGCCGCACAGTTTCCTATAGCCATTTTTTCCTCGAGTATTGCATTATTAAGAATTTAATCTGTGTTATTTGTAGAAGCAGGAACTCTATTAGTTTAATTTAATAACATTTTTTATATTATATTTCATAAATTTTGCATTTGACAATAATAATGCTAGTTGAGATTTATGTTTAAGGAAAAATATACAAAAAGTAAATATCAGTACCTAGTTACTGCTATAGTAACTATAGGCACTTATAATAAATATATAAAAAGAGCTCTATGTATCTACGTATCACGCTTATATCGTCATTTTGAGAGTTAAAAAATAACTAAACAAAAAATTACGAACTAATGACAGCTTTTCATACTCAATACATAATTCACATATTGTCACCATGAAAATTAAGCTCAGTAAATAAATTCTTCTCGTTATTTTGTTAATTTTTATTCAAGTATGATGTATTCAAATTATTGAAGCAATTAAAACAATCCCTACTTATATTATAATGGAGAAACTAACTCTTTCTGTCGGTCTAAGCTGATGCCCAAACCAATGAACTGAATATAATTAAATTTGGTGCGCAGATATAGTTGAATATAGGATAGGTACTTTGTTCTCTTTTATCGCGAAAATGAGGCGGAAGGTGTTGAAATAGGGATGATGTTTGTATGAAAGTTCGTAATTGAAAGTAATTATTCCACGTGAATGAAATTGCGGTTGCGTTAAATATTATTATTTCGCTTAATCACCATAATTGCTTGCGGTCTTTAAATTTGATTACGTTTGAGTTCATCCAATTCCTTTGACGCATATAATAGGTTGAGCTTCTTGTTTCGTCTGTTGTTTGTAGTTCCTATTATTTATAAATGCATTAGCAAACTTATTTGACTTATAATACTGCTGAGAGCTGATTGAATGTACAAAAAGTAAACTCTTGATATTATTCTAATTGTTTTGATTAGTGCTAGCAAAATCTTAGGTTTATCTTTATCTTTCAGATAACTTAGCCAATACCTAATAACAAATATGCTTATTATAAGATTGATAGAAGCTACAAATACTTATTTATTTGAAATAAGGGTTTTGTACACAGAATAAAGTAATCCGGGCATCAAAATATTCACCACGACACGGTTACTAATGCTAACGTTTTATTCATAGTCAGGGTCTCTAGCTTTTGATCACTGACGTATAATTTATTAGTAAACAAAACATTCGGCACCATTAGAAATAGACTATAATCACGTTGTAATCTGTTTTAAGTGGAATATTATCGGCTTTTAGCATACTAGTTATAAATATGCTTAATAAATAATTACTTTCTCAAGTAAGAATAAAATAGGGAGCGATTAATCCATTAACGAGTTGAAAAAGTTTAGGTACTCTTTGAGTTAAACACTGCCGATTTTTGCCTTTCATACTTTTATACGTAACTACACTTCTAGTGTATTTAGGTTTACTTTTGTAATACTTGATTGTTGTGAAGCTCTAAAATTAACTTTACTATTTTCATTAGTTTTTAACACGGTTTACAATTTAAAATGTTTTCATGTACGAGTATGTTTCTTTGAAATTAACATTGGCTCGCCATTTCCTATCATAAAGTGCTATTTTTTCCATTTCTCTACAATAATCTCATTATTTCATAAAATATGCGTTATCATCATTAAAAATAGATGGATCCCCACTGCCATTAGCTAGTTCAGTAATGGCGCTGAATAACTTGCATACTTTAACCGCAATCTGCGGCTCTCTGCGGCTATTCACTCGAAGCTTAGTTTATGTATGATCTTGCTAATAAATAAGTGGTTTCGAAGTTCGTGGTCATGTTTACTAAGTTGTTTCGCTCAGTTCCGGCGGGTGCGCAACGTGTGGGTCGCGGTATTGAACCGACCATCGCGATCTGATGAATCTTCGTGAAGAACGAAGCTTAAAATTATGAAATGTATTTTTTTTTTTAATTCAAATGAAGCCTCGGAGCGCATTCCGCTTAATTTATTTCAATTATCAACATTATAAAATTCTTTTTAACTATTATCGTCATAAAATGTGCTTTTTACGATGTTCTTGTGAATTAGACAAAGTAAAATTTGTTTTTGTTTTTAAAAAATTTTAACGTTTCACCGATTTTGTCTTTAAGAAAACTTTATTGGTTTTCCTAACAATTTTCAAAAGAAAATAATGATCGACAAAGTGGTTTAGTAACTTTCTCTTTTAATTAATCTTTTTAGTTCCCAGTATTTGAAGAAAATATGATAATAATAAACATAATTTGAAGGGTTGCAAATTTTTAAAGTTATCCTCCAACAATCTAAAACTCCAAAGAAGCTCAAAACAATTCTGTTGTACTACTCTTTGAATGAAACTAATAAATATATAACTTTTAATTGGGTTTGTTCATCATATTTAATTAAGTGAACATAATTATACTTTTATATACAAAAACATAATACGACAATTTTTGTATATTAGATATTTGGTTTGACGGGACTAATACTAACTGTGCAATAAATCTTATTTCGTTGTAGAAGTTCATTGTTAAGGTTACCAATATCTAGCTTATTTTTAATCTAGTTTACTATATAATCCATTTATCTATTAAATATTAAGTTTAATATATAGTAAAATAATGATAATAACCTAAATTGACTATATGTACATAAAATAATAAAAAGTAATGATAGCGTATGGTGCTCTCTGGCGGGCATCGATAGTACAAATTTAGTATGATTTATGAAGCCGAAGCCAGGATGCGGGTCAACAACCTTAAGCCAGACCAAAGAAAACAAGTGTGCCTTCGCCCACTAATGCTCTATAGTAATGAGAAGTTTTTAAATAATAAATTATTAGTTTTATGAGTATTAGAAATAAAGCTTTTGTATTTAATATTAGCTTTCTGCCCGCGGCTTCGTTCGCATGGAATTGAGACGTTCTTCTCGCCGAGTAAATGTCTCAGACTCGTGAGATATAGCATGACGTTTACGGATGACGTTGACACGTTCTTCTCGCCGAGTAAATGACTAAGACTCGCGAGACATAGCATGACGCTCACCGTCGTCTGTGAGACGTTCTTCTCGCCTAGTAAATGTCTCAGATTCGTGAGATATAGCATAAAGCTCACGGTCGATTGTGAGTCGTTCTTCTCCCCGAGTAAATGTCTAAGATTCGCGAGACATAGCATGACGTTCACGGATGACGTTGACACGTTCTTCTCGCCGAGTAAATGACTTAGACTCGCGAGACATAGCATGACGCTCACCGTCGTCTGTGAGACGTTCCTCTCGCCTAGTAAATGTCTCAGACTCCTGAGACATAGCATGACGCCCACGGTCGATTGTGAGTCGTTCTTCTCTCTGAATGTCGCTCATGGTTAGTTGTGATAATTGCAAGAATGTTTGTTGAAACCATGAGAAGAATATGAAAAAAATGATGATCTTCACTTTATAATTACTTAAAAAATCAATTGTCTTTCTCCATCAGAAAGTTTATCGTCCTGAATACCTTTTTCTAAGGCATTGTATTCTCTGACGGTTTAGTTGGGCTGCTAGGGTTTCAGAGCAGTTATTCTAGATCTTCGATTATTATATGCCAATAAGATATTTTCATCACGTTGAATATTTTTTCCTTATGTTTGCATCTCTTAAAATTTAGTTAGTTGGGCTGCTAGGGTTCCATAGAATATGTTCAGCACGTTGAATAACTTTGTTAATGCATTACAGCTATTCGTATCTCTCAAATTTAAGTTGAGCTGCTAAGGTTCCATAGCAGTTGTTTAAGATCTTTGATTTTGATACGCCAAGAAAAAATCTATCGTGTTGAACAGCTTCTCCTAAAGCGTTATATTAGTATATCTTAATGGTTAGTTGGGCTGCTTAGATTTCACAGCAGTTAGTACAGATCTTCAATTTTTGTCCGTCAATAGAAAACGCTATCACGTTGAATAACTTTTCAAAAGGAGTTAAATTCGTATCTATTAAGGTTTAGTTGGACTGCTAAGACTTCACAGCGGGTATTTATCACAGAACATAGAGAGGTATTTATTAAGGTTTTTGGGCTGTTAGGGTTCTATAGCAGTTGTTATCGTAGGGGAGCCCTCGATGCTAAATCGGGATTTACTCGAGCGTCATAGAGACCTATTGGGTTGCGAAGCTTAGATGATAACAAAAAAAAATCATATAATATATACCTTTTTATCGGTGGGGGAAGCGGCTATAGATTTTTAAAAATGTAAAAAAAAAAACTGTTGTATGGACATACTCGAGCGCGTCAGATATTAATATCATCCATGTCCTACGCATTTTTAAAAACTGTCGTATGTTAATCTGATGACGTTTCCATGATGGAGGTTATACGTAAGGGTTGAAAACGAAAAAAAAAAAATTTAATCGAGCAGGGGATGTCAAGTGAACCTAAAAAAAAGCTCTTATATAATAATCTGACGATTTGGATGTGACGCAAACGCGTGACCATTATTAGAATGTGCACAAAAATCGCCATTTTGAAATACTCAAGCTCAGATTAAGATATATATGGTTCATCTTTATGCCCCAGACGTGATATCTCATAATCTGACGATTATCTGAAGGGATTTACTTAAACTGACAATAATTTTTTTTTAATTTTTTCAAATCATTGAGCTTAATTAAATAGAAAAGCACCGGAGTTAGCATGCAAATAAAAAAGTGTATGTTTTTTTAAGTAAAAAACTTATATTTATAAGAAAATGATTATATGAAAATTTAATTTTTAGAGTATTTTTTAGTAATTATCATCTTCATCGGTAGAATCATCTTCCTCTTCTTCTCTTAAAATAACAAAATAAGCAAAAACGTTGGAAATACGATGTAAACAATATCACGCCACGAACGAGTCTGTGTCATCAGCTGTCATGGCGTCATGGCAACCGAAACCAGAGTGGGGATGGAATGAGAGAGTAATAGACAGAAAAAGAGAGAGAAATAGTGATGCGGAGAAGGAAATATAGGTATCACGTAGTTTAAACGCATTAAATCTTATCGATGAATTTTTATTACTTCGGCTTGTGACAATCGTCAGATTATATATTTTTCGTAATACTTGAATGATTCCCTTCAAAATAAAAAAAAAAATTAGCCACGCTCGAGAATGTCAAAGTTACGTTTTTTTTACAACTTTGTAGCCTTCCTCCTTCTTTATGTCACTCTCAAATTGTCAGATTAGAGATATGTACACCTTTTAGCATGTAACTAGCTCACCTTACCTAAATCTGACGCGCTCGAGATTTTCAGATGATCAATTTCTTTTTACTAATCTGATCCTTCGTCCTTGCCGGGCGGCCATTTTTATAGGTATCCCCCTGTATATTAATCTGCCGCGCTTTAGTAAATCCCGAAATCCCCGCTTCGGCTCCCCTACTATTACAGATTTTCGAGTTTTAAACGTCAATAGAAAATGTTCATCGAGTTAAATAACTTTTCCTTAGACGTTTTAATCGTATATTTTATGGTTCTACATCAGATATTCCGATCTTCATAATCATTTATAGTTTTTGTTGTCGAGGACCGATATATATATACAACAAAAAAAGTTTCATCAAAATCTGTTTAGTACTTTTTGTGTGAAAGCCGGACAACAGGGGGCCAATTCTACTAAATAAACTTTGTTTAAATCGAATCGAAAACGGATCGAAACCGAACGAAACTACAATTTTTAATGGTTTTTCTTTTCTACTAAGTGACATACGATACAATTCCAGTTCTATTTTAGCTGGAATTGTCGTCACTTTGTAGAGTAGGAAAACCATTAAAAACTGTAGTTTCGTTCGGTTTCGATCCGTTTTCGATTCAATTTAAACAAAATTTATTTAGTAGAATTGGCCCCCAGAAGGACAGACTTTGGTTTTTGTAACTTGTATTGAGACCCCTTTGAATATATTTTTATTTACATTCAATGTACAGATTTTACACCCACCACACTTTTATTATATGTATAGATTATATAATAATTAATTTGAATTAATAGACAATAGTAGGAGCTCGATAGCGCAGTAGTTAGCACGTTCCGTCAGTGATTCGCTTCTCATAGGATGTCATAGCTCATAGGATGGGTGACCAAAAATGTATCATCTCGAGCTCATCCATGCTTCGGGAGGAACATTAAGCAGTTGGTTCCGGCTGCATCTGCCGTCGTTAACACCCACCAATCGGCACTGGGCCCGCGAGGTGCGCTCTCTTCGAATTGATCGTTTTCATCTATAGAGAATAAGCCCCCGCAGTGACTATATTAATAGATTGGTGATGATGATGAAACACTAGTAGGTACTATTACTACTCTGGATTATAGCATTTTTGGAACACAGCCATGGCATAGCAACGTCTTCCAAAAATAATTGAATGATCAGTTTTCAATTTATGTGCAAAATGGTGGTGTTCCATTCTACCGCAAACAACTTTTTTAATTAGGACAGATCGTTTCTCAAAGTAGATGAAACGCTAAGCCCTCTCTAGTCAAGTCCAAAGTCAAATAAATTTTAAAAAGTCAAGTTAAAGTCGAAGTTTTCGTAATTCAAGTTGATATTATCATTTAATAGAACGCTTTGGAATAGCCAATTTTTGCCCCTATCAACCCATTCTGGAATCAAGATTCTTTTAGTCGGGGAAAAAAATCTAGCTACACCACTGAATAGATCCTTGGCGCACATTAACCATTAATGTATTATAGAGGACTAGAATAACATGCCCATACTTTTTTATCCCTTATTTTAAAATAAATTATTATCAATAATCGTCGAAGCTAAATCAAAATAAAATCTATTATTAGATTATCTTTATTTAGGTAGGCACCATATTATATTTATTGTGCAGTTTTTCAACGTGTTCGGTCTACAATGCCTCCACATTGCCACTTGAGCATCTTTTGCAAAAGCCAGTTGTTACGTGGGCGACCTAAAATTTACTATCACGAGCTCTACCGTGCTTTGAAAAGCACCTTAAATCACTGGTCCCGGCTACATTTGTAGTTATAAACAGCCACCAACCGTATAATGGATTATGGTCCTTTCGTATATTTAATCCATCCATACTTACTTATTGCCTCTGTAGTTTGGATGTGTGGACATTAATGATGATGAGTCTGATGATGCTGTATTAAAAATGCGAGAAATAATACAACTGTTTTGTATAGCAAATTTTTTAAATACCGGTTAGTATTTAAAAAATTTGTTCAGGATTTCTTGTCATTCCACCTATTCGGGATTTTTGTTTTATTAATAACTTTTCTAACGTTATTATTTTAATTACAGTTGTTTACTGCTGCTCTACTCTTGTACGCGTGCTTCTCTGCCATCTATTATGCTAAATTCAACCCTATCTTGCCGGACTACAGTATGGAATATGATGATTACTTCTTGGAACGAACGGTCGGCAGAAAGACGAGAAGTCTCGACTCCGAGGAACTGCCTTCGGGATTCAGTTGGATAAACCCGAGGATGTTCCTGTTTATACTCGAAGCAATAACAAAGCACTATAAAGAAGAATAGCTATGTTGTATTCTAGAACTTAATATTTTTTACTTATATATACTGAGAATTTTAGAAAAAATATTTTTATTTCTTTGAATATAATAAACATAGAAGTGTTTGAATTAAAGACTCAAAAGTTAAAAAATAAAATTATCGGGTAGGTGAACCGATTATGCCCTTAGAAAAAAGTGAACTTAAAACATTTTGGCTGGCTACGATATAAGCCATAATTCAACATTTTATAGACCGTGTACGGTAAAGTAATATATTTGCCTATATGTAAGTTAGAACGCCTTAATGTACCAAAAGGCCCCTTAGTTTAGACAAAACCGTTTGTTCTAAAAATATTAGGAGCTATTAGCAATTCGGCGTTCGTTCTAACTCTTTCTTTATATAGGACAACGACGAAATTTAATTAATTATCCTTGTTGGCCTGTATTTATGAAATAAGATATAATAAAGATTCAAATGATATATTTTGAATGTCATTCATTGTTGTATGATGCTGTCTTTAGATTTATATAATATCGTGTAATATTTGCTCAAATTAGTTCCTGTTGTTGTAATTAATATTTATTATGCACATTTATTATAAGTACGATCTGATGATAAATTAGACGTAATATTTATTTATATTTCTGTAATTTTTAATGTTCGATTAAGCTGGTTATATACTAAACTTTCATATTGATTATGAGTAAGGGTCACTTTAAAATATTCAGCTGCGATATAGAAAATTGTTCACATAAAAGTTTTGATTTAAAGTAAGAAATTAAGTTATATCTCTTAAAACCATCTAAAAATATAAAAAAAGTATTTTTAGATGGTTTTAAGAGACAAAATTTTGAGACTGTGATTGTTCTTGTCCTTAAAATCGATTACATCGATAGAGCCCCATCAGGTCTACCACGCAACATGATTGACTTGGTTTTAAAGAGACATCAGATTTAATTATCGTGCAGTACAATTGGAGCTGACGCGTAAGCGCGTTAAATTGTGAGTTGACATCAACTTGAACGAATGACACACAACTTATTCGGTAGCTTTAACTGAATTGAAAGTATAGTATATTTAGGTAAATCTGATGCTAATTAAGTCGCGTCGAAGTCAATCGAGTTACGCGGATATCGAATTACGAGTCTATAAATTTCAGTTTAAAAAAAGTTAGGGAATATCCAATTATGATTTCATTATAAGCACCCAAAGAACTTACGTTGTGGAAATTGTAACTACCATAAGTAATTGTACCCGAACACTAAAAGTTCATCTTAATTATAAAAATAATTATAACAATTCTTCCGAAAAACGAATTCATCTCAAAAGCAATAACGTTAAAAAGAAGTTAACTTTCTGTTTTCAGTTAACGATAATTCACTATTGTCGAAATTATACTATAATGATCGAACAATTTTAAAGTCTTATTATCAAAGTGATTGATTTTTTAATATTCAGTAAACAAAAGTTTCAAATGCATGGTAGGTGTGGATAATGTGTTTGTAATGTATTTTTAGTATCATTATAAAAAAAAATTTTGGCATTATGTACTACCACTTAAAAAACTTTAACTGTGCCAAACTACAATTTTGTCCGCGCAATATTTTTCTTATATTAAGTGTCCAAAGTTTTGGCTTCGTATTGTTATAGTAAATTGTTAAACAATCAAAATAGTAGTGCTCTATATAATTATTATTATAACAATTCCTTTTCATTGTGTAATTATAAAATAATCGTTAGTCCGTCGATCCAGTGTGAGCAGGGAGTGCGGCGGCTGTATCCCAGGGTTCGATGCCCGGTCGCTGCCGTAGTCACGACAGGATCCTACACAGGACGTCGTTATTATGCCTTTTACGACCACTTCACTCCTAGTAACATTTATTCCAGCGCATTTAAATATAATATAAAAAAACCTTCTAAAGAAACCACCAGGGTACACTTCATGGGCATTCATGATATTTTTTCTAAACTACAACCTTGTTTTTTATTGTAATTATGTTATCTAATTTTTAATGTTCTTCGCATAGCATTAGCAGTTATACAAAAATTGTTCTTATTCTATTCAGGTAATTACCGTAATACAGACTTTATAGCCTTTGGAATTGTATAAAGAGTTGTATAATTAATTTGTAGTCATTGAAGAAAACATCACTCACATTGATGCTACAATATTGTTACTTCTAGTAGTAATAAGTTCCTAACACTTGTTTTTATTGAAAAAATGTAAGATATTATCAAATATAGACATGACGTTAAAAACTTTTTTATTTAGTTTTATAATAATTAAATTATTTATATATGTCAATTTGTATAAATTATTAATTGAGCGAAATATTATTACAGCATGTTTTGATAATATATCAGTTTTATTACGCTATAACTTCTTTTCTGTCTCGTCATCTCATCAGAGGAACAACCGGTGCGTTTCTAGAAAGCAATTAGTCCATATCACACGTAAGAACAGTTACGTGAAGATAACGTTACCGCTGATATCGATGATGTTGATCACCGAGTCATCGATTAAGTTATCTCGTGCTGTTGACCACAACACATTTTCCGAGCCTCTGCGGTTTGTTGTCCATTGCCCGCGATACAATTATGGGTTGATGTATATTGGCATTAACCGGTCGGTTTGTGTAGTCACTACTTAGTGAGTAGTCGCGTGTCGTCGGGTTGTTATTGTTCGCGTGCGGGTTACCTCGCCAGTTCAACGATCAAGTGCAAGTCGCGCGCACACCGGGCAGGTCTGTAACTGTGCGCGGCTGCGCACTAGTCTGCGCTCATCGCGTTCCATATACGAAATTCGAATGATATCTGTCATAAACTCTATGATCAATAAACTTACGCCAAGTTTTACTCGGAAACTGTTTATTTAGTGCAGTGTTTGTTTGGACGTCAAGTTTCCACGAAGTCGCTGGTGAATTAGTCACCATTTGGGTCGAATGAGAGAAAAGGTAATTTCTTCCACTTTTATAAAGAAACAAGGAGCATAAAAGTTACAAAAAAAATCAGTTCGAAAAATGAAGCATTCATAAAATACTGACCATTCATGACTTTACGTAAATTTATAGATACTTCAAAATTAATTAAATCTAATAAATACTTATATTTGACCAACAATGTAGGAAGGAAAGTGAAGGAATATTATAGTGTTATGGTAGGCAAGTAATTTCTGAACGTTTAAACTTGATTTACTACTATAAACTTTGTTATGAAAGTAATCGAAATGTGATTTCATTGAAAAGACATCAACGTCATACATACGTTAGGTCATTGTAAATCATATTAAAATTTCAACTTGAATTTTTCATTCTTCAAATATTGATATGAAAATAAGTTTTTATACATACTAGCAGATAACGCGAACTTCATATCGCGTCATTTTATAAAATATGGTTGTTTCTTGCTGTTATTAGTCCAGTAGTTGTTGAGTTATCCAGTACAAAAAATCAATACATTTCCCTTAATATTATGGAAAACACTTTTAACTTTTCAAACCAAATCTAACTCTATTAAAACCAAAATGACATTGAAAGTTTCTTCCAAATTAGTAAATGCAAAGTTCCTGTTATATCAACTTTATTTACAATATTTTCAAATGTCATTTGTATTAATACTTGTAAAATCATATGTCATTTGTGTTCGTATTTTATGTTGTGAAAGTCGTGGTTGTACAAATATCTAAAAGAAGGAAATTAGATTTGTATCGTCATGAAGTTAGTTCAAACTTGTTAAATATTTTAGAAACACTGACCGACGTGACTATTCATTAGATGTTTGGAACAAATATTTATTATCTAATAGTTAATGTTATCGACATTTAAGTAAAAGCAGATAACAGTATACCTGTCCAACGAATAGATAATATATTATTTGTAGTATAGTACTTAAATGAACATGCTTCTCGGAATAAATTCAGTATACGATAGTATAACTATTATTATAGTTATACAACAAAAGAAATTGCGATCTGCGAGTATAAGAATTAGGAACCGATTGTTTTAGGTGTCTATGTGAGATTTCAATATTGCAATAAATTCCATTGGTAACTCATATAAAAAAAAATATTCTGATGTTTTTAGTTATAGTACAATCAGTTATTAATAAATTATTATGTTCATAATTCTTTTGCAAGTAGGCATCCTAAGTATCTAATAGAATCCCTAAGAGATTTTTACAGTTATTGGTTAGATTAACATTAAAGAAAAAAATATCAATAACATCTCTATCTTATTGCACAACAACAAAGTTTAAGCTATGATTATAAAGAAAACTTAAGTAAGAGTATTATTTTTTGTATATTTCATATGATTAATTACAATTCAAAATAGTAAATACGTGTTATATTTATACGTAATGTCCATGTAGTAACTATATATTCTTCGAAAATTATAATACATATTTATTTCAATACACAAAAATATGTAAAATAAACAAAGCGAGTACTTGTTGTTGTTCGTATTATCGAAAATTTTCTGAACTACTTTCTATACACAGAAATATATATCCTTTTATTTGGTTCACCTAGTTTTTTAATTGTTGTTATACTCAGTCTTTATTATATTCAATAGTATAATACTGTTTTCTGAGGAAGATAACTGTAATAGTTAGTAGATGGTGGCGGGAGGTGCGCGTGAGCAGCGTAGCGGGACGCACTGTTGACATACATTACGTTATGGCTTTGTAACATGCGATCGTTTCATTTAAAATACCTTAAAACATATATATTTATCGTATAACTCTTATCGCTAAAGAATTTAAGATTTAAAGTAATTACAAAAATGTTGCCAATTTTGGATAACTTAAGTTAAGGTGATGACTGTTAAAGTTTTAAGTCAGAATCTAATTTCAATTGCTTTATTGCACTCTATTAAATTTGTGGCATATTGTAAATAATTTACTTATGGACCCTACCAGATTCCTGCACCGAAGCAATATCTTAAAGAGAGCCATTCACCCTTTTGTTACTATGATTATAATAATATTCGGAGTAACAAATTGGATTTGCATTCTTTACGCATTCG